AAAGCCTTGGCCACATCCATTGAGGCCAAGGCTCTAGAACCGGCATTGTCATGGGTCAACTGAAGATTAGTGAACAGTCTGCGCAGGTTGGTGTCCGTAGACTTGCCCGGTATAAACCCAGTCTGGTCAATATTGACCAGGGACCCCAGAACGCTCGAGAGGCGCTTTGCCAGCACTTTGGTTTGTATTTTCAAGTCCATATTGAGCAATGCAATTGGCCTATATTAGGAGCACAAGAGTCAACTTTTCCCTTGACAGCCGCCAGGAGCACTGCGTCAGCCCAACATGGTGCAATTAATGGAACGCCTTGCCTTCTTAAGTGCAGCCACCGTGGATTCGCCAGGGGAGTCTGCATATGCCGCTGCACAAATTGCTTCCTCATCCTGGAGTACTGTAAGGGCAGCACTGTGTTCCCTGCGAGCTGCCTTAATACCAGAAATATATTCTCCCCTGGTGGTAGCTTTAAAGGCGTCCCAAACCACAGGTGCCGACGCCGTGCCCACATTGTCGTGCCAATAGGTCAGCAATGATGGGGATACCCTTTGAGCCACTCCCTCCTCCCGCAGCCACTCAGGCGACAGCTTCCAGCCTCCCGACCTCCTGCCTCCGGGCACTGAAAATGTAATAGACAATGGGACATGGTCCGACAGGCCACCAGGCAAGTACGCAGCCCCGTTCAACATACCCAGCATGGCTTGCTTACCAAACGGCATATCTATCCGGGCCGAGGAGCCATGGACATGAGACAGATGGGAGTAAGTTCTGATACCAGGGTGCTTCCACCTCCACACCTCTTCCATCATAGCAGTCTCGGCCCAGGACCTTAATTCAGTACCCGGCGGCCGAGCCGGGTTAGAGGAATCCAGAGTGGAGTCCAGGATGTTATTAAAATCCCCTGAAATGAGAACAGGCAGTGGGAGGTAGGGGGCAAGTTTGTCCAGGATGGTATACAAAATCTGTACATTAAATGGCGGAGGTATATACACACTGACCACCGCTAACTGCGTTGCTTGAATATCAAGTACCACAATTGCAAACCGCCCGCCAGGGTGCGTGACAGTATGCAGAACAGTACACGGCAGCGATTTACTAATGAGCACCGAGGCGCCCCGGGAATACGTGGAATAGGTCGCATGCACCATCCTCTGTATCCAGGGGCGTCTCAGCGCCAACACCTTACTCCCATCTAGATGCATCTCCTTGTCCAGCTGTAGAGGGAGCGAACCGTTGCCCCCACACTGCATGAGAGACGCTGTGGAAGACCGGATAAGACACCTCTAGGTCTAGCATATTAAATCCGTGATAGTGCGTTCAAGACATACCCACCATCCCCCATCCCTGTGGTTCCTCCGGTCGTTGACTATACCCCTCCCCCCTCGGGCAATGCAACATCCGCCCCGGATCAATGAAAAAGCAGGATAAAATAAAAAAATAAAAAGGGGCAAACTGGAAACAAAAAATAACAACTGTAGAACTTGAGGCCCACACGAAGCATATCCATCCAGGATAATCAAGAAGCGCTCGGCCACTGGTCGTCGGCCTCATCCCTCTGCGTCGTAGGCCCGTCCGCCCAGCAATTAGTGCAGGAGTACATCAGCATGCCGAGCCAATATCTGGATAATCCAAAAGTTTCCTATGCAGACCAGATAGGGTAGGTATCAACAGGAAACTGCTGCTGGTGCGGATTAACCCAGCGCATCCAACCATTCAGCAGCGGATCCAGGCGAATCAAACATGTGAACCGTGCCAGAATGGGGAACCCTCAGTCTACCCGGTACAGCATGTTGTATTGGATGCCTCTTTCACTGAGCCGGCGTCTCACCTCCACAAAGGTTCTCCTCCGCTTCTGAATCTCCGCCGAGAAGTCAGGAAATAGGTGCACAGAGGCATTCTCATGGCGAATGTCCGGGCGCGTTCTGGCAGCCGCCAGTATTTTGTCCCATTCTTTGTAGTTTAGAAGGCGCGCCAGAAAAGGTCTCGGCGGTGCCCACGGGACGGGCTTTCCAGTGGGCACCCTATGCGCCCTTTCCACCACAAAGGTGGGGGGCAGCTCCTCCATGGCCAGCACAGATTTAAAGAAGGCCTCCGCAAATTGAGCAGGCCTCTGGCCCTCCGCTCCCTCAGGCAGGCCCACTATGCGCACATTATTGCGCCGCATTCTATTTTCGTGGGTCATCTACCTTTGCTGCCAGCGTTTTCACAAATTTTGTCCAGATCATGTCTGATCAATGTGCACTCCACCGCCAGATGGTCAATTTTGGCTGTGAGGGCGATTTTACAGCCCTCTATGGCCTCCAGGATAGCTGTTGTCTCAGCCCTCTCCTTACTTGTGGTCGGTGGGGAGACAGGCTGCTCCGGAGGGGCCAGCGCCACTTCAGCAGCGTCTGCAGCTACTCCCTCCATGCACGAGGTCCGGCGTGAGCACTCACAGGGAGCAGGGGACGGAGGCAAGATGGTGGTGGCGGGACACGAGGCCGCACGCTGTGATCTCCTCCAGCCTTCTTTCGGAGTGTTACCTCGCTTGCCATACCTAGAGGGCATATCCCCCTGCTCTGGACATCCACCGGAGCTCGGGTGTGAAGTACAGGAGCCGAGTCTGCAGGATTAAAGACGGATAAAGCTCAGTGTGGCGGCAGAGCTCCCTCAGACATGTCCACTCTGCTTCACATCCAGGCCACGCCCCCGAGGCTGCCTTATTTGCATCAAATTATGTCACTGCTTGATAAATGTCCCCCATTGTGTCATTGTGTTCATTTTGAATGGGCCCACAATGCAGAGGAAAATGGCCATTTTTTCTGACATGGCACCATGCCATGCATTTAGATGTACTGCAGTGTAAGTGCCTTGTCTGCTGTTGTATTAGTGTGTTACAGATGCCAACTGTCCCTGATTTGCAGGGATAGTCCAAATCTTGGTTCTCTGTCCCACTCATGCTGTGTCCTGGGCTGTGTCCCAAGATCTCACTATAAGCACAGCTGCTGAGAACACACAAGCGGTGCTTCACAAACATATACTTTCCCTGGAAGCTCCATGTAAAAGCAGGGTATGGGCTTTATCCCCTGCTGCCACATATATGCATACAGACGGCTCCCAGTGGGAAGGACTCATGACAGTCAATCACTGTGATCACATGACTGGGAAGCCCATGTGACTCCTTCAGCATTAGGGTGTCCTAAAGGGGTGATGGGGGCCTGCAGAAAGGAGCTAAATTACATAGATGTGTAATACTGAGCAGATATTACATAGCAAGCGCTGAGTGACATTCTTCATACATTAGCCTCTACAGTTGAAATGATCTGCAGATGCTACTTTATGATAAGTAATGATCTGCTATTATCACAATATTCTTTACATTTTTTTTCAAAGTTCAAGGGAAGACTTAACATTGGTGGAGAAAAGATTTAACTAATAAGGGGACTTCTTTTTAGTTAGAGCGGTTACATTACAAGCAGTGATATCTGCAGAGAATATTGATTCATTAAAAAATCAATTAGATACCTTCATAAGAGACCGTAACATACAGGGGTACAGGTAGTTAAATACTAGACCACACAGGGACTCATAAAAACAAGTATGCACAACTCACACACAGACACACAAAGGTTGAACTTAAAGAACCTGTGTCTTTTTTCAACCTCAAATACTATGTAACTTAGGACAATGAACTGTTAGAAAATGTATGTAAATTCCTTTGTGTACAAACAGTGTCACTGAACTGTGTAGCAGGGTCTGTGTGATTGCAAACATGTACAGTTATTGCTTACTATTTGTGTTTATATAGCCAGCTATGTAGAAGCTACATTATTACTGCAGATAAATACTTACAAGCTTATAAGAATGAGCAAACAAACTGAATCTGGAGCAGTTGCCCATGGCAACCAATCGTCATCTCTCTTCAGTTTGCTCAGCTAAGAATTGAAACTGAGAATGAGAAGCTGGTTGGTTGCAGTGCAAATCTGCTCTGGATATTGTCTGCTCCTGTTTTGATCAATTCCCCCCTTTTACCCCTTTTTTTATTCCTGGACATAGTTTCAGAAGTGTGTTTAGGTCAAACAGAAGTTACTTGTGTGTGAAAACACAGAAAAGAGCATTTTGTTCTACTTTTCCAGAAACAGTCCCTTAAAAAGCCAAAGTGGTAAAATGTGTGAATTGGTCTAAAGCAGATAATGGCAGTGAATCAGGTTGGGCATCAGATGAAGATGTTAAGTTATGTCTAGTCTATATGTCTAGTCTTTATAGACCACATTAGCATCTGGTAACAGCAATTGTTTTTATGTTGTGCACTTTAGAAGTTATGAAGGAAATGTTAGTTAATTCAATGAAAATTAATGTTAAATCTATTACCTACCTTGTAATGTTTCACAGTATTCAATTTCTTCAAATCATTCTCCATCACAACAGAAGAGGCATCTATATCTAACAGCTCCTTATAGGTCTGGCCAAAATGATACTCTGTTCGTGAGAGGAAGATATATAAACATATATAGAGGGAACATTATACATGACATGAACAACAAGGCCACATATTACAAATTCGAATATATATCAGAATGTCATACTGTGCCTTCAAAATTCTCAAAGTTAATTTGGGAAATATTTAGCTCTCTGTCTTTTACACCAGCTTCATTCCGATATGTCCATATTTAGGTAAATCACACATTTTTTATGGGAACCTTTCTGGCATCTGGAACCAGGACTGACTTGCAAAAGTTGAAATGTTTGGGAGGTATACACCTGCAGTTTAAAGACTGTACCCTATCCAGTCTGTTTTCTCTGCAGCTACTATTACACTGTGTTATTCTTAAACCTGGGGTAGTGCCTACGGCAAGAGAGTGGAAGCATTATAGTTGGTGGATCTTTCTCGAAAAAGAGTCAATATGGACAACACATTATTATTATTACCGTGTTTCCCCCGAAAGTAAGACACTGTCTTATATTTTTTGGGGCTAAAAAAACCCACACTAAGTCTTATTTTCGGGGTAGGTCTTTTTTTTTTTTCATGTACAACAATCCAAAATGGAATAATCCAAAATGGCAGTCAAGTCAAGAATAGGGTGATCAGGGCAATCAGGGGTGCCGTACCTTTCCAAGAGCAATTTGTTAACCAATCGCTGGCCAGAAAGAGCGAAGCGCCCTTTCACTATCGATTCCTCACAGGCGGAGTGCATTTGGTATCACTCCGCCTGTGACAGGAGCTGGCGCTATAGAGGAGGCATCGGCTTATGTGGCTCTGCTCCCTCCGCTGCCGCCTCACTTCCTCTAGCACTGGCATCGTTGGCACTGCTGATTCTCTCCCGCCTCTCTTCAAATTCCCCCTTATGCCACCACTGGCCCTGGGAATAGTCACAACTAGGTCTAATTTTAGGGGGAGGTCTTATATTTTAGCAATTCCCAAAAATAGTACTAGGTCTTATTATCAGGGTAGGTCTTATTTTCGGGGAAACAGGGTACCTTATACAGTGCCATTATCTTCTGTTGCACTGTACAATGTAATCAATATAAAGATGGGTAGTACAGGTAATACAGTACATACAATGTTCCAAAGACAAGTGCACACAGCTGTTTAGCAAAACGAAGTAATAACAAGAAAGAAAAGGAGCGAGAACTTCTTATAAGATGACAGTGACAGATGGTGAATAAGAAAGCCGTGTTGGTTCAGTGATAAAAGTGGATTGCTTAGCTCAGAGTTTATGGTTGAAGGTGTCAAGGACAGGGTCAAACAGTATTTGGTGAGGAATTTCAGAGAAAGGGGAGAGGGTCATGAAAAGTACTGGATTTGAGAGTGAGGAGGTGACTAGAATGGAGTCTAGGAGAGGGTCATGTTTTAAATTAAGACATTTTTGAAAGGTTCAAATGAATAGAGGGCTTTGTATGTTAGAAAGATGGCAGGTAGTGGTTACTGAACTATCATAAGGTTTACATGAAAGAACAGAACCAGGTATTACCTTTAGGTAAAGAGTTTGGGTAGTTCAAGCTCTGGGGATGTTTTTCACAAAATTTGTTATGTCAAGGTGGAAAGATTACAAGTTTTTCTCCATCCATACCACAATAACAAGCCACATTATACACAACACTGAACTTATCCCAAAATACTTACGTAAACAAATGTCACAAAGAGGGCAGCTAAAAGAATATCCATTTTTTGACAGGTATGTTTGAAGGATTTTTTCCTTGACTTGCCTTATGGTATCACAATCCAGTACAGTTACTTTTAAACACTGACTGTTTTCATAAATAGCTTCGCCTTCTGGTGTTGGGTAATGTACATTGATGTCCTATAGGGACAAAGTGAAAATTTGAATCCTGGAGACTACATAGCAATACACAAGAAAGCCAGTATAACATACATTAATCTGTGATGTTAGCTTTCTATAATGTAAAATATTTATGGAACTATGGATCTAACACTGTGATCACTATTTTACACACAGCATGAACAAACTTATGAAATGTCCAATACAACAAAATATAAGTTGTTCTGAAAATTATCTAAAACACAGTGTAAATGGTAAAAAAAAACACCACGAATAAATGGTTAAATGGTAAAACACCAAAAATAGTAATATAATCAGGGAAAACAATACTTACAACATTATTAAAGTCTGTCACTTGCCATAACAGCCAGTCTTCATTCAAAGTGTACAGGGCTTTACATGTTATTACATCTATCGGACCTTTGTGTATCCTTTGATTCAAGGTACAAACAAGACCATACAAAGGTTCTCCAACAGATTCCTAGACAATAGTGAGATATTATTAGTAGGAGCCGAGACAATTCAAAACTTTATGCTAGGCTAAGGCTTCATGACAGGCATGGTGGCAGCGCTGGGTAGATATAAGGGATGAGTGAATGTGCTTGGGTTTAGTCTATGGACCATTCATGAAACCCATCATAAAGTCCAAAAATGTGCACTTGATATTTATGTCGTCACCTATTTCACCATAGTGATTTATTTACTTAAATGTGGTAGAAAAGTTACATTTTGTTTATGTTTACACGCTTTACACAAATTGAACTATTAGCGAGGCTTATCCAGTTAAATAATAATGGAAAAAGTGGACTATGACGTTTCACTGGTGTTTCAAAGGAGTTGGACGTCTCACTCAAGAAACCAAATTAAAGAGAACAGTAAATAATAATTAGCACAACAACTGAGTTAGCCAAAATAGTCTGAAATATTGTACAGTTGATGCACAGTATATAAGCAGCTTTATTAGTCCACAATTTCAAAGGAAGAGACAAGGCATGTTTTACCAAGAAAGGAAAATTAGAGTCAATTACTGTATTTCCCAAACAATAGCTAGAAATATTGTGCAGTCAATACACAGTTCATAACCAGATTAATTGGGCTACAATTTCAGAGGGGAGACAGGGCATGTTTCATCATAAAATACAAATTTGAGCGTAATATTTTGAAGAAAATAGCCAGAAATTTTCATCTTCACTTGTTCTGTCTATCAAAGCACTTGCGACAGTTTTAGCCTCTTAGATAATTTTTTTTATGTGCAAATCTGTCTTTTAACATGTGCCCCGGTTTTCTTTAGAGCTTGCACTACTTTTCCAACTGCACGTGTTGCGCACCTGTTTTCTTAGCATCACCTAAGAAAACGCTCACAACTTAAGAAGTCCCCATGACCACTTCTTCAAGATGCCACAGTTAAGCTTTTTGCCTGAAGTTAGAAATCTTCTTTCTAGTCTATTAAACCTCATTTATCAACAACATTACACTAGCTTGATAAATCTGGTGCAAATATATTCCATGCAAGTTCAAACACTCACAATTGCTATGATAAATTCCCCCCATGTTTTTTTGCACCTTTTTTGCACATGTTTTCATCTGCATTTGTTAAACCACATTTATCAACAACATTACACTAGCTTGATAAATCTGGTGCAAATATTTTCTGTGCAAGTTAAAATACTCGCAACTGCTTTGATAAATTCCCCCCATTGAGTTTGTATGTGGCTTACTGTTATTATTGCAGTTTTCAGCAATCAGCAGCAGAAACCCTCTTCCTGCAAACACTCTGATCTATCTGTATCTGCTCCAGGTCTGTTAAACATACAGTGAGTAGGTTTGCGACTCAGTGTAGATATAGCGATTCTCAGCAATCAGCCGCAGCAACTTGCTCTCCTTGCAAACACTCTGTGATCAGTCCCTAACTACTCCAAGTCAACTCAAACATACACTGACAAAAGGCTGCTGGGAAACCCTGAGTTATATAGGGTGGGGACTGGCATATAATAACTCCTATGATTGACCCATCTAAGCCACATGACCACAGTTCAGAGGCCAGAAAGTGCATTGTTGGTAATTAGTTGCTATAGACGCAAATGGAGATTAGTTTGCCATTTTCTTGAACCATAAATGACTTTGGGTTTCGGTCAAACTCATGTTAGACCCGAACCTAAAGCTTATCCCTAGAAGAGAGTAAAAAGTAGTGATAAAAATAAAAGCAATGTAGACCAGATGTGTATGATCAAACTTTGAAAACCCCATTTGCAATAATACAGACTCGGTATTTGAATGCAGGCAGTGTTTATAGCAAACAATTATTGAATACCATCTGGTCAATACTGCCAGGTACACCAGTCCTTCCTCCAAATCTCGATTTTGGAAGTCTAAGACTGCATGTGTGCCCGTGCTTGGTCAGCTAATGCCAAACGGCAAATCTTAAGTCAGCTGTTAGCTTTTCAGTAGAGCTGCAACATTTACCAATAAATATGTAGTATGAAGTTCTATGCAAAAGAATAAATTGAATTTATATACCAGAAGGTGAACTCTTGTACTGCATAGTTATTGGTATAGTTTGCTGATTTGGCAGATAAAATGTAAAGAAAATGTAACTGGTGTATGGTGAATTAGAAAGGAATATATAGTAGATTTGTACAGATTTTATTTCTTGTAGCCAGCAGGTGGAGTTTTAGGCTCCTTTTCACATTGTCACATATCATCTTACTTCCTTTGTTGTTAAAAATCTGTTGTTTACAGAGCTCAAAACCTCAAGCTGACAGGGGACCGCTGGTCCTCCGTTGACTAAATACGTGCTGCTGTAGATACCCCGCTTGGACCGCTGGCGTGTGCTCAATCTCCAACACTTCTTTTGCTCCATCCCTGGCCCCCAGAACCTATTGCGACCGATGACGCCGTTTGAGACGCTTTGCCATGCCGGTATGCGGGTCCGACATGTAGACTCATTAATCATTTATAATTTGGTGTGGCCTACTTCTACCTCGGAACCCAGTTTCCTGGCCAAATGGGAAAGGGACCTTGTCATGCAGTTCTCACAGGCCCAGAAGGACCGCATATATTCTTTCGCACACAAGTCTTCTCTTATATGTAAAGTCCAGGAACTCAGTTATAAGATCCTGGTGGTACAAGGTACCGACCTTACTACATTCTATGTTTCCCCAGGTCTTGCCTCTCTGCTGGAGTTGCCAGTCTGCCCCTGGCACTTTGTTTCACATTTTTTGGACGTGCCTAAGGGCACATCCCTTATGGGATCAGGTTATGGAGATCATCGATCAACTGACCATGACGAAACTGAAAAACAACCCTTCGGCATGCTTGCTACACATTTTGGATTGCTCTACTCACCACTGCAAATCCTCCTTTACCATACATTTATTGAATGCTGTCTGTGTGTGCATCCCCCTGCTCTGGAAACGCACCACTCTCCCTTCCCTATGTATAAAGATTACTAAGGTTGATGAAATTTACCGTATAAAGGGGAAATTCGGATCCGCCTGAGGCCCATGACTAGCTTTTCAATATTCAAATGCTTACTCCTGGGAATTGTCGATGGTTCTCCTAATTGAATCTGGACACTCTCCCCAGGAGGGGATTCCTGGACTGTTTCTCATTGATGGTGGGTCCGAGGGGTCTTTAAATCCTCCTATTTCATGAATGTCTGTTCTTCGATTCTCTACATACTCTTTTCCTCTGCTGCTCTTTGCTCTTATCTAGCTCTCTGTTCCTATTATTCTTCATCCCTTCCTTCTTTCCCTCTACTTGGCTTTCACCTCCTTTTCTATTTTGTGCTCCTGTGCAATTTCACTTCTATTTGTTTTTTGCACTCTCTCATCTGATGTCTTCAAAAGATGCCGGCAAGTGCCCCTGTGATGCCCTTACTGTGATGTTTTACTTTAGTATGAGTGATACAGGGGCTGACTTAGATGACCCCCTTCTAAGTACACTAGTTGCCTGGCTGTCTCTAGCTTTAATACTTCCTGAGTCATTGTTCTGAACAAGCATGCAAATTTAGACGTGAAGTCAGAATTCCTGAACTGCATGCTTGTTCGAAAGCAGTAACTGGAAGTACTCAACCTATTATAACAACATGACGGTCAGGCAACTAGTGTTTTTAGTAGAGGTCAACAATGGCAGCTTCCTAATTCTCTCACCTCCGGCTTTCTACAAACATGAACAGACACATTATTTAACAATTTTCTGTTTAGCCTATTGAGAGAGGTGGGAAGATTCAATGCGGACACTTCTCACACCAGTTGAGTTCAGTGGGAAAATAAAAGTAGTTAAACAGGATTTTCCTACCCAATGGCTTTGCTCCCAGAGAAGCCTTTTTTTATCTGCTGTTGCCCCTTCAACTTTTAATTTGTCTTTATCTTCCAATTTGACTGAAAATTGTCTCAGTGAGAGGCCATCATTTAACATCTAGGACCTTAAAGTGGAACTTTACCCATATCTTTAAAATTACAACAAAGGTAACCTGCACATGTTTAGTAATGGCAATCTACAAACATATACTTCTAGATAATTGCAGTCTTTGTATTCTTTGCATACATTTTTTTTTTATTTTCCTCCCTATTCTTCTCACAGTTGCCATTTTTACAAAAGGTGGTTAAATCCATCTCCATTTACTTCCTGGAACTCTGGCACATGTTATTAGGACATGTAACCATACACATCATCTCAGGGGAAAAAAAATATTTTCCCTGAGATCTTGCGAGATTTTGCAGCTTACAGATGAGATTTCCCAGCAATGCACTGCTGATGTAACCTTTCAAGGATGCATCTCTTATGCATGGGCTACATTACTAATTAAAATACTTAACACCCGGGAATCCTGTCTTTTTTAGCCTTTGTTGAGAAATATATAGATTTTTGTCAGTGACTTTGTATGCCTCCTAAATGAACAAACATTTGATCTTATAAAGAATAAGACCACTATAGAAGTCACATTATATATTAAAAAAAAATCTATTGGTATAAAAATAAAGTTTATTTTTATATTCAAAAAATCTATTAATATAAGTAATTCTCATAATCTCTTCACCTCACCTCCAGGGTCCTCTAGTTAAAATTGACAACGTTGTCATCACACGGACACACGTCCTCTGTGTACTAGGAGTATACTCGGATTTCACTAAATGGTCTTTAAGGTTGCGGGCTCTATGTTCTACTAGTTGTGGATTGAGTCCAACCATGTCTGCTATAGTGGGACATAGTTGCAACACATGCCAGTGCCTTTTCATTATGGTTCTTACTTCTTCCCATATAGATTGAAACTGAGTGATTATTCGCACAGGGCCATCTATGTCTGGTGTCTCATTCTTTTTTCCTGTTGTTGTTGCAGAGGTAAAAGATACATGCAAGGTCTACATGTCAAAGCAAACTAGACAAAATACAAAGATTTATATTATTGAGCGAACTAGGTGGAAAATAGTAGTGCATGTGATGACAACATTGTCAATTGTAACTAGAGGAGCCTGGAGGTGCGGTGAAGGGATTATGAGAATTATGTATATTAATACATTTTTTGAATATCACAATAAACTTTATTTATATACAAATAGATTTTTTGATCTATAGTGTGACTTCGATAGTGCTCTTATTCTTCATAAGATCAAATGAATGCTACATCACTAAAGGCTAAGAGGACCAGGAGGTGGAAAAACAGTAATTGTAAGTAAAAGTACAATATGTTAATTTAACTAAAGAATGAAATATTTTTTCATATCAGCATCAAGAGCTGCAAACTGATGCAATTTATAGTGAAAGGGGGTAAAGTTCCACTAATTTTGCCAAATGAGAGCTCATATGTTATCAACAGATGAAAACCCACAAATGGTCTGAGCCTAGACTGAGTGGAAGCACAGTCATGCTGTGAGGACAACAGACTGAGGTGTGAACAGATATTTATAGGAATAGAACTTTGCAAACTCACTTACAGGAAGATTTGCAAATGTGCAAAACTAGGCAATTGCAGTATACTTATATTGAAACTAAATACACTATGGCAGCCCATATGCAAATTCTTTTAGTTCTGCAAAATCTTCTAGTTCCAGCTTCCTCTATATGTGTTTGGTATATACTGTACATGCAGTCTAATAGTTCAAATAAGGAGCAGGATTTTATTAGTTTACATTCACTGACCTCTTATGCACAAAAATAAGTTCATTCCACAAAGACAGCACAAACATAATTGATAATACAGGGTCATTCTTAATGGTAGAGTTTTTTTTCCAGTAAAGCAGCACAGTAAGCAATGATGCTCTCCAAAGTGCTATGTCCTATAATGACCAATTGGATTTCCAATCAGTGAAATTAATTTTTGATGGGTGCACTGGGTTACTGCAATCTGCAAATTGCCCCTTTACTTAATAAAAAGACAGCGTGCGTTCTTCAGTGCCCTTTTTAGTTTTTAAGATTCTTTATGGAAGTAAACTATAGTTAGCATTTATCAAATCCATTAAAGGTAACATATTTCAGTGGTAAAACATGGTATACAGAAAAAATAAATAATTTATTGCAGAGGCCAGCTTTGTGATACATCAAAAATTGTAATACAAGTTTTTTTCTCACCCGCAGGAAGCCGTACAAGCAGGTGGCCATCCAATTCGTCAATAACTTTTCCACGACTGACTCTGTTCGTCTTAGCATCAGCTTTGGATTTTTGCTGTTTGATTGCTCTATTAAATCTTTAGTCAACGTTTCAAGCAATCCAGTGAGATAAAGCAAATTATTCTGAAAGATGATGGTCAGGTAGGATGCAAAGAAACATCTAGGAATAACAAATTCAAACATATTTTTAAAAAGATCCATATGCATTCCAACCCACAATTCTACCCAGCTTTTTATAGCATACTGCAACATATAGCATACTGGAGCCCTGCATTGGTAAGCATGTGGGATTTAATCCCACTAGAACCTCAACTCAGCGCAAATGGTATTTCAGCTTTGGCAAGATGTAAGTGGAATAAATAACTCAATTTTCTGCTGTATCTCTTTGGAAATGCAACAAATTGTGGTGAAATGTCAGTGCCAGCTACACAAGCAAAACAATGATCAGAGAAACTCACATTGAGACTTTGTAGTACAGACTATAGCTGGTCAATGGAGCAGGTTCAGAAAACTTGAAATAGGTTTGGAGCCTCTGAACTGAATAATTTTAAACATCACCATTTTCTGAATAAATTCTGCATTACAGTGTAACATGCTGAGAATACTGTATGTTATTGTATCTATTAAGAGAATTATGTATCTGTTAAGAGAATTATGTGTCTGTTAAGAGAAGCATAGTTCACAAAACTTTGAAAAGTGCATTTTTTGCTGCCCATATGAATACAGTTTTATAATTACCAAGACCTAATTTCTGTTGCATTTGTGCGCTTGTGTGAAAATGTAACTGATCATATATTAACTCATAAATGGTGTGCTTTTACACAGTTGTGAGTGAAACAATATCACACTATTCATAGTCATGTCATAGTCTTCAAGAAAACTGCAGCAAGTCCAGTTGCCTTGACTTATTTTTTACAGATACTCATAGGGGTCTATTCACTAAGCTGCCGTAGGCAGCCGAGTGAATGACCAACCTAAAGTGAAGTGAGCCGAACACTGTTCGGCTATACACTTCAGGCTGGTACGGCTGATTTCAGCCGTATATCGGCTGAAATCAGCCGTACATCGGCTGAAATCAGCCGTACATCGGCTTGCTTCGCATGGTTTCGGGTCGGCCGAACATGCTCAGCATGTTCGGCTGACCCGAAGTGCAGGAGGAGTTTGACTCAGCTGATCCAACATCTGGATCGGCTGAGCCGAACCTCCGGCAGGCTACTCACTGCTGTTCGGCCTATTCTTATAGATGCCGAACAGCAGTGAGTGAATAACCGAATGCCGCTGAGCGGCATTTGGCTCGGCTGTTCTGCTCGGTCCCTCAGAGGGACCGAGCAGAACAGAAAAATAGTTTAAAAAGTAAAAAAAAAGAAGTAAATAGAAAACGATTGTGCGGAGCTAGCAGTGACAGCTAGCTCCGCCCAACAGTTTTCTATTGTCCAGCGGTTGTGCTGCCGTAAAAAAAAAACTCTCCCAAGCGCTCTGGGAGCCTCCCACTCCCGGCCGCCCAGGAGAGAAACACTGCTTTTTTTTTTCTTTATTCTGACACGGAGCCGTGTCAGAATAGAAAATTTTTTTAAAAATGCTTTGCCCATTGGAATGCATTGCTAGATTCCATTTGGCTATTTCAATTTGCAATAGCCAAATGGAATCTAGCAATGCATTCCAATGGGCAAAGATTTATTTTTTATTTTTTCTATTCTGACACGGCTTCATGTCAGATTAAAAAAAACAGCAGTGTTTGTCTCCTTGGTGGCCGGGAGCGGGAGACTCCCAGAGCGCCGCCCAGGAGAGTTTGCTGTTTGGAGATCAGTGTCCCTGATCTCTCTGCAAGTGGCCGGAGCCAGCCGTAAGATCACGGCTGGCTCCGCCCAGCTGTCAGAAGCAGGCTGTCGGCCAGCCAATGGCCGGCCGCTCAGCCAGCTTTGGCTTTCAGCACGGCATATGCGTTCGGCTCGACTGAGCCGCTCGGTCACGTTCGGGAGCTGTACGGGCTATAGTGAATAGCCCGTACAGCACCCCTTCGGTTCAACTGAACCGAAGGGGTCCTGGGGCCGAAGCTGGCCGAAGGATCGGCTGAAGCTACCGCTAGATCCTTCGGCAGCTTCGTGAATAGACCCCATAGTCATAGTTAATATTCATATTAATGTGAAATGAGAATTTATATACTTTATTTTCCTTAAGCCATTTGCTCATTGGTATTGTATAGCTAATTATTATACTGACATGTTGTGCTCAGTTTTGTTCCCTCCAACCTATGATGTATTCCCCCTTTCTTGTTCAAGAATTAGTCGAGTGCCATGGCTGCTTATAACAAGAACACATGTACATGCTAGCTTGAAACATTATCATCCTTGAACTTCAAATGCCATCTATTCATTCATCTGTTGTATCCTGTTGTCTGTTGTAATCCTGCTGCAAGCAATAAAGCATTTTGTGGATGAAAAGGTATTTGTTGAGTTCAGCTATCCGATAATGATTGTCCACAGTGATTATACTGTATTTGCTTATACAGGCCAGGCATGGAGGTCTCAGCAGGGGATAAATCGCTAATACAACAATTGAAGTCAGAATAAATGGCGTTGCAGAAGATATTGCTCCTTGGTTATTATAATAATTTGCTTAAGCTCTGATTCTGTGTTTTTATAAAAGTTTACAAATCAGGTTAACTCTCATTTTAATGTCACTACAATATGCTCTGATACGCATAAAAAATTTGTATTTTAGTAGCTGTTTTCCCTGAACTATGCATAAGAAGAGTAGCAGAATTAAGACACATGTCAAAGTAAAATGTATTTAAAAGGAAATCCTGTGTTTAGCATTCACACTCTTGCTTACATCCTGCCAAGAGTCATAAGACTCTCTCTATATATTTTCGCCAGTTTCTCCTCGCTGACACTATACCCTCAATTACTGGAATCTCAGCAGAGAACCACAAAAAAAGAGCACCATGATGTGATCCTTAATTGCACAATTTAAATTTATATGAATGCCTGACAATGCAGATATGTGGTGGGGTGGAAGCTGAATGTACTGCAGGGTGTGGTAGAGAATTGGCAAGCCACATATGGTGTTGTGGGCTGACGGGTGCGAGATACGTGTCCTTGTCACTTCATGTGGCCCCCCATGTAATGAAGATGAACTAAGGCAGACATGTTTGAGGTCAAGCCTGAGTGGCAACCATGCCTCCCTCTAGAGATACAGTGGAGGAGTGAGTTTAGCCCCCCAAGGACAGGAAGTGTGTTTTTGGCAGATCAGCAGATGGAACTAAAATGGAAAACAGCCTGAAAAAAAGAAAACGAATGCAGCTACCACCTCTTAGATACCCTTTAAGTCTCCTTTTTTAGCTCTGTTCTATTTCCTAGATTGTTAAATCATTCTGGAAGTTCCCTCTTCCTGTACCTAAACATGTTATTACCCCTTTATTATTTGATGTACAGTACAGTTTGTCATACTGGCACTTTATAAAAACTGAAGGGTTACACAAACAGGAATACTCAGTGGTGAGATTTCTGTTTGTGGATAAAAGTCAGGCGACAGAAGATGAAAACATTTTTAAAAAGGCTGAGGAATGGGGACTCTAATCAGGACGGACTTTGAAGTGACATGGGGTTGTGGAAGGAAACTGACAAAGCTCTCTCAGTGACGTTCCGTTTGGATAGAAAACACCAGAGCTGGTAGGTTAAACTACAAAATGTAACTAAACGCAAACATCTCCAGGAAAACATTGACCTCTGAATAGTCCACACTATTTTACCTATTGCATCCTCAGAACTTCCCACGCGGTTTATAGATTGGATGTTCTCAAATAATCTGGCCTAGATTGCCTTCATTCAAGTTCATCCCCATGTCTACATTCCCAAGGAACCTCTACAGTTAGGAAACTTCAAGTGGTATTTATAAAAGACGCAACCAACCTAAGCATTAAGTGGAATGACTATACAGTGTGGACACACCATGCTGATGAACTCCAGGCAGATAAAATAGAAACACCAATTATTGCAGTTAGGTATTTACTCCAAAATAATAAATGCAGCTAGTAAAAGTCCCTGAAGCAGTTCTCAGGATGGGAGAAGGTTAGTATTAGGAGCTATTCAAGTTTATTGCATTATGTATGTGCTCAAAAGCAACATCCTAACAAGAGGAGAGAGAACATCCTAACAGGAGGAGAGTGAAGAGCTCACTAGTTTGCTGCTGCTCCTTCATTGTCCTGTCACAGGTTGGGGGCAAAGAGTTGGCTTCAAGTGTATTTAAACCCAAACAAAAAACTTTAATAAGTTTAGTCAAAGTACTGCAGCGCTGAACACTGAAAAATGGCCTGGCCAGGAAGAGGGTCTAAACACCTGGTCTTGAAGTGGTTAAAGAAGATAGCAGGTTGTGAATAGGGATGCACCGATATATCGGACGCCGAAACATATCGGCCAAAAATGGCACTTTTGGCTAAATGCCGAAAGTGCTATTTTCCTGCCGATACATCGGCACATCCCTGCTTTCTTTCCTCCCCGCTGGGCCCTGCTGTGTCTCAGCGGGGAGGAGAGGAAGTGTGACAGGTGGCCGAACGCTGCAGGAGTAGAGCGCTGTGAGCGGCCGGCGTCTCTCCCTCCACACTGCTCAGCCTCCTATCACAGTCCGGCAGAGCAGTGAGTGGGCAGAGACAGCATGCGCTGTCACAAGAGGCTGAGCTCTCCTCCCTACACTGTGTCCTCAATCTTTTTTTCTATTTTAAAAGGGAAATATCCCCCCAAAGCCCCTAAAAAGTAAAGTAAAAAATACAAATATTTAATTAAAAAAATTAATAACTTTTTAATAAGATATAAACAAATTAAAAAGTTTATAAAAATAAATCAAAATAAAATATTAAAAACATTTGAAAAAATTCAAATAAAAAACATTTCGGTTTCAGCCTGACAATTTTTTTTATTTTGCTTTTGTTTCGGTTTTGAAATTTCCATTTCGGTGCACCTCTAGTTTTGAACGAGCCAGATCGGGGACTGTGTGTCCAATTGTCAGCTGCCCTGCTATTCAATACACTACAAAAGCTGGAATGCGTAGGTATTTTGCTTAGAAAGGTGAATTAACCCTTTAACTGTATTAATGAACTTCAATGGTAAAAAGCCTAGCTCACAGGTGTGGCAGGGCTGCCTAAATCTCACGACTAGATGAACACAAATACAAATCTTTTGTCAGTAACTTACCTAGAGTTTAGCCATAAAGAATGACAAATCCCACGTTCACCAGCTGATCTGTCAATGTATGGTTAACCTTACACTGTTTTCTGGCAAGCAAGGATTTATACATTCAATATAAGTAAACCTAACAGTTTTTGTTAAATGCACACTATCACCTGTCCTTGACTGAGAAGTCCTTCTGTTTTTCTAAGATGTGGATTAGCATGACCAGAAAGTTTTGGTTCTCAAATAGATTCTTCAAGCTAGTTACGGTATCATCCTCATCTGTTGGATTTCTAGCATTTTTCTGGAAAGGCTGTTGATAAAATAACCACAAATGAATGTCACTTATATTTGACAAAAAAACAACTCTTTAAGGGCTAGTTCACACAAGATGCAGTTGTGGTACAGTCCGTTCAGTTTGGCAGCTGCATCAAAAACGCATCACAATGCTTTCCTATGGGATTTCTGGTGCTCTGTTTACACCAGTGCAGTCTGTTCCAATGCAGTCAGAAAAAATACTGCTTGCCCTATTTTAACTGCACATGATTGCTTGGGGACGCTTAAAAATGCATTAAAAACTCCTGCAAGTGCACTGGAACGCACTGGACTGCACCTGAAAGCCCATTTGAAGCCAAAATCGTGGTAAAATTGCAGTTAAAGATGCAGCAAAACACATTGCACTGCAGCTGCACAGATGCATGCAGTTCAATTCCCGGCCAGGTCACTATGTGCAAGGAGTTTGCATGTTCACCCTGTGCTTGCGTGTGTTTTCTTTGGGTAATCCCGTTTCTTCCCACACTTGCTGGTAGGTTAATTGTCTCCTGTCTAAATTGGCCCTCGTATCTATGCATGTGAGATAGGGACCTGTAAGATCCTTGAGGGCAGGGACTGATGTGAATGTGCAACTATTTAAAGCTCTGTGTAAATTATCGGTGCTATATAAATACCAATAATAAATATATACTGTATATATTGTGTTCATCAATCAACTTACCGAAGGAACATTTTCACACAATTTTTCACTTAAGTCCTGCTTGTTTCCATCAGGCTGAAAGAGAACACCGATAAATGATTAAAGTTTTAAAGAAACCAATTTACCGTATATACTCGAGTATAAGCCGTCCCGAATATAAGCCGAGGTACCTAATTTTAGCCAAAAAAACTGGGAAAAAGTATTGACCCGAATATAAGCCGAGGGTGGGAAATGAGGCAGCTACTGGTAGATAGATACCAATAAAATTACATTAATATTTATTTAAAAGAAAAATAACCTAGCTCTGTAAGTGGAAAAGGGGGTACAGGGCTACATATCATGTACTACGGATCATTTAACCCATTCATATTAGCAGAGGATAATTGTAAATCTATTGTTCAGTGCACTCTATATGTAGTATATAGTACATGTACATATAGAGTGCCTGCAACAATACATTTACAATGATCCTCTGCTAACATGAATGGGTTAAATGATCCATAGTACAGGGCTACATACAGATCATTTAATACATTCATGTTAGTATAATTGTAAATGTATTGTCTGCACTGTATTAGCAGTATATACTCTATATAGAGTATATACTGCTAATACAGTGCAGACAATACATATATAATTGCTTAATTAATCTCTCTCTCTACCCCCCCCCCTCCCCTCCCCTCCCCTCACTCACTGTGTGCCGGTGATCGGATCATCACATCACGGAGAGAGCAGGGACGAGTCAGCGGCGCGCTGGTCCAGTGGGAGGAGCTCCAGGTGGGGTCCTAATTTAGCTGGCTCAGAGGTGCCTGCCCGCTAAATTACAACCCCACCTGGAGCTCCTCTCGCCTGATCAGCGCGCCGCTGACTCATCCCTGCTCCCCTGCCTGACTGGCCGCTGCGGGGGGTTTTTTCTTCTTCTTACTTACCTCGCCGAGCGTCGCTGCTGCTGCGGTGTGCGGCGCTCCGAGCGGGGTCATCTGGCAGTCTCCGGGTCCTAATTTAGGTGGCCGGAGACTGCCAGATGACCCCGCTCGGAGCGCCGCCCACCCGAGCAGCAGTGACGCGACGCTCGGCGAGGTAAGTAAGAAGACGCGCTGGCGCTGACTCGAGTATAAGCCGAGGGGGGCACTTTTCACCCAAAAAAATGGGCTGAAAATCTCGGCTTATACTCGAGTATATACGGTATATTGCATCATTTTTGCTTAGAAACAAGCTTCACAAGACATTGCATTTGTACTGGACCCCTGGTTTTAGAAGTACATATTTACTGTACATGCATCCTCATTTTTTATCACTTTATTGTTGCGGTTGAAATATATACTCTTTCACAGACCAGGCATAGCACCTAAAGAGTTGTTACTGGGATTGCACACTATGTAAAGAAGATGGCGATAACACTTGCATGACACTTTCGAAATTAAGATTATCACCAGAACAATGACAGTATAAATGATTTTTTAAAGCATAGCTAAATACAAAAATGTATATGCTGTATTGCAGCTTACTAGTCCTTAGGTGTGGTGGCTTCATTAGTTTTCTTTTTTCAGGCTAAGCACATTTTCAGCAAGTACAGAAAAAACCTGTTGATCTTGCCAGAGGTGCCATGTTCTTTTAATTCCTGATTTTGCCTCAGTACCTTTCTCTATCCTGAATCCACCAGGGAGCCAGGTCTATATGGACTGTATAGAAAAGTGAAACAGTAGGTTCAGCTCTCAGCAATACCCTGTATGCCACTGGGACAGGTCAGGGGACATTTCCCCAGAAGTTTTTTATTTTATTTGGAGTTCAGCTTTCATTTCATGTGCTAAATATGATATATGAATAAAATGTTTACCTCTGGAAAAAAAGTTTTTAAAGCAAAATGTTTATAGTCAAAGAATGGAATGGTACCCAATGCCTCCACTGCCACATCTTCTTTATCCATTTGAAATTCTGCAAAACCTGCGAATGTATAAACGTAGACATACTGCAGTTTACAGAGACCATTACACATACAATTGCAATACAATATTGATTTAGACTAATAATATACAGATCTGTAAAAAGTAGAACATTGGTATATACATGTAACCACTGTATATCTGATACATATCTTGTTGAACATCAGACTTAACATACAATGGTTTTGGCTCAGCAACCAGGCTGCCAGTGAGCAGTTCAAGTGCTCTGGTCATGTCAAATTCTTCTTATGTGGCCTTATGTGAGTGCATTATAACACTATAGAGCTTCAATGCATAACAAATATCCACATGATATGATGATCAATCTGACATCATATGAATTTCTGTGGTAGAAATGTATTACTGTATTCTCTTCAGGGTGAGTATAAAAACTACACATACTTCAAACCCTCTTTATTGGTTAAAATAAGTGAAATGATCAGCAATATGTTTTTAGGACTGAAAGCCACACTGGAGAATGTGAAAAAGAACTAGGGTACAAACTCCTAAAAGGTCAGTGAATGCAAAATACATATTCAGATATGAGCTTCTCTTATATACAGTATTTCCATAGTCCAGCTGAGAGTTCCACTTACTGGAGTTTCTCGCTATTGTACAAATGCCAGAGAGCCTCACTCATCATGTTGCACAGATAATCGTGGCAGTCTCATGTTTTTTTACTGCATTTAAAACATTAAAAAAAAAAAATACAACAAGGGGAAGGAAACTTCCCTATATTGCCTGAAACAGATGAGTTGACTTAAGAACTAGGGGTCAACTGCCAAGGTTTTCCAAAGACATTAGAGCTGGTACTAGGTAACCCATAGCAACTAATCAGATTTCAGTTTATTGAAATCAAAGCAGTGAAATATCAGTTCTCATTGTTTCTTCACTGATTGCACCGGGTTACTGCTGTTAGTAAATAAATAGAATTAATGATAGCACTAACAATGAACTCAAGGCTACCACCACTTGTATCCGTATTCAGTAAAAGCTTGTGAGCTGCAGTGAGAAGATTCCAGTTTGTAATCAGGGGTATTGAGAATGGAAAGATCTTATAGTTTTTGTTAAAACCAACAACGTCTCTCAAACACTTTCCTCGAGGAGGCACATTTGCAAAGCAATACCTGGTATAACTCATTGACCCAGTGCAATGGCTAGCAAGTAGGGCTATAGATGTGCCTTGCCTTTATTCAATATGATACAACCCAGCTTTGGTATTCCCTAGAAGAGCAGATGGTTTCCGAGGCCAATATTCATGACAGTGCTGGTAGCTGCCCTAAAATTCCCATACACAGGTCAATGTTTTACCTACTTCATTCACTGTTGATGACAATAAATATAAAGTCGGTTCAGACAACCACACATTGGGTAAGTGATTGCTTAGCTGTATAGCTGACTTAACACAACAATCACATGAAATGTGCATACAGTCATTTCCCATTGCCTCACATTTTACTTAATTTTCAGATTTTTTTGCATACTCATATCCTGTTGAAGAGACTGTTGACATCTGCTGGAGGCAGACTTTTTCTGATAAACATGTACTAATTTGAGCTTTGCCATAAAGCTACACCAATTACCAATCTAAAAACATGTCTTATAGTTTTTAAGGTAAAAATATTGTTAATGCATTTAAATTGGGCCTAAATTCTAAAAACTAAAATAATGCACAGTACCATTAGTGGCTCCAAAGCAAAAGCATAAAATACACCAGAGATACACCATTATAAAATAGTCATGGTACTAATTAAATACTATTCTGCTGATTCTATCATAATTACTGATAGTGTTTTCTCTCCATTCTACTGAATTATGCATGCATTTAAGTGCAAACATAGGGAAGAAATGAAACTGGAAGGATCAAGGGATGCCGGGGTTTATGAAAGATTGTTTCTTGTGAATAAGCTTGGTGATATTAATTTTCACAAAGGAAGAAGGCTGCTCAAACCTCTTGTGAGCAAAAAATGGTCGGAACCAAATTTTTAAATATTTATCCTCACAATGTAAGATCTTTCTCCACAGTCTACTGCATTTTCAGCTATGCTTTGGGACTACCTATGGGATTCTACATACGGTAGTTTACTTTTAAACTTACCAATACATGTTACATTCTGGCCGTACATTCTTTGTACAATCAACTTTAGATTTACTAAATCTTTGTAATATGATGACCTACCTACCCTATCCAGTCAATTTGTATTCAGTCAGGCAGGCCCTTATACTACATAGTTTTTAGTAGAACTAAAGGAGGGTGTATATTCTAAAGTTGACAACTTTTTCAATAATCGATTATAATCGATTATGTCGATTAGTTGTTGCAGCCCTATATTCAAATTGTATTGTGTGTGGTGAGCTTAAGGCTTTTGGTCCCTGGTGGTTAACCTTCAGCCTGAAGGCTATATACAACCCTTTGCTACTGGTTGTGGAGCCCTTTACAGGCCCCAGTAGTGGGAGGGGATGCATTAATTTGCAGGAGTAATGACAGTGAACTCTAGCAATCTCGTGTATTGTGTACTTGGTCTCTGACTGTCTTATGCGGCAGGTTTACAGCCTCCCACAACACTGTAACATGTCTGCAAACTAACCATTTCCTCTAATATGTCTGCAGTCTCACCACAGTCATCGTGCAGAGCCGCTGGCCACAGCTATTACATTTCTCCCTTCTGACCTAGGTTGTACACACGTGCCCTATTCACATGGATAATTTGAGTGCAATACATCCCTTGGTTTATATGAGTGGAGTGTGTATTTTATACTTCACCAGATCTGTGCTCTTTCTTTTTTATTTCCTATTTAAGGTTCATTGCATCCCTTATGCTAATATAAGAAAGCTACAAGAATGTCAATTGGTGGCTAAGGACACTTTGTTTGACTCTGCTGTTGTGCAATATAAGCATGGACTGATTAGATGTGAGCTTGCTAAGTGTTTTATTTTTTTTAGATCAGTAAAAGATGAAACCTGATTGATTGTTATGGCCACATCATCTATGCTGTTTTTTATAGCAACTATGTCACTAATAAAAAACTTGAAACTAAGATCTGGCCATAAAAAATTCAGTTAATACTCAACTATCCCGCTACAGATCTTTGCTCTCTTAGAGAACCATAGTGGTTGAAGAATCTTCAGCATCTGACACTTCTGGCAATGTTGGATGCCCAGTCCCTCACTGAGCTTTGTGATTCGATCTGCCAGTCCCTACATCACTACTGTGTCCTGTAGTAACATGGGGCAAGCAGAATGAATCACAGCAGGGTAGAGGGGGACCAGACATCCAACACTACTTCGATTGTCAGATGCTTGAACCACAATAGCTCTTTGAGAGATATAAGATAGGCAAAGGGTCAGGTGAGTATTCACCTTAGTTTCAATTTTTATAGCTTCTATATTGCTACATAATTCTGCATCATTCTTACAGTTCCATCAGCACAATTGTATCTATTTTTTTGCTGAAGTATTGATGCCCATATACAGGTGATACATATTTTAGGAACGATCCAACTGTAATCATTTTACTTCATAAGAACACCCAATTATCAATAAATGTAGGACAATATGTTCACAGCACCAGCTTATTTCTGAATTATTAGTAAAGAGCAGAGATCAGACTACAATTTGCAACCATCCAGTCCTATTTTTCTCTTCACTCCAGTCTCTGCAGTGAGAACATTTGAATATCCAGCATTTGAAAACGACATATAGTCAAAAGGAGCATGGAGTACCTTTACTCGACAATACGAGAACTGACATCAACTGAGAGGTAAAGCAATGGAAGAAGAGGAGGTGAGTGGAGAAATGAAAGAAAAGAAGGAGGTACAGGTTTGAGGGGCATCTCTGGAAACCTCACAAGCCTTTAACGAGTCAACAGAGCCGTTATGAAACATTACAAGACAATAAGGTGCCGATCATATGTGGTTAGTAAGTAATGAGCGACCCAAGTATCCCATAAGTTCTTAAATTTAGGCATGATGCTTAGTAGTTTTGCAGTTAGCTTCTCATTGGTATATGCCCACTGTACTCTGTGTTTCACTTCAGCAAAGGATAGGGAATCAGTCAGCCATGCCTTTGCAATTGTTTGCTTCACAGCCATGAGAACATGCAGCATGCGATATTTGGGTACACATGCTAGCTGGAGGTTGAGAAGTGCTTAAGCTGACATCGCTAATACATTGGCACCCAACAGGATTGAGAGCATCTTGTAGACCCAGGACCACAGATCTCCCAGCACAATGCACATTCACCACATATACATAAACATTCACCCTTTCATAGCAGCCACAGAAACATTGGCCAGAATAACCAGGGACATAGTGCATGATACGACCGGGAACCATATACTAGCCATACAGCAGTTTGTAATTAGTTTCCAAGGCTAATGCATTTTTGCAAGTAGGATTTAGTAGTATCCTATAACTGATAGAAAAACATGAGATCCCCCCAGTATTTGAGCATGTTCCATATTTTCACAGAGTGAACCATGATGGGATTACGTATCAGAGATCTGTCTTTCGGTAATCACCATAACAGGTTATCTAAAGCTAGCAGGTCACAGTCAACTGCCTCTAGGGATACCCACAGCGGAGTCTCCTGAACTGCATTGTACTTCATTAAAGAGGCAAGCTGTGCAGTTTGATAGTACTTTTGTATATGGATTGTTGTATTTTGTTTACCAACATTGTTTATACGATGTGACACTTTCCACTTATGCGTACTGTAGATATCTGACAGGCTGGATTTTCTCTAAAGAAAATTTTTAGCGCAATATGCGAATAATTCCAGAACACATGTTTCAGATCACTTACCATCACGTATTTCTTGTCTAATGTCACACTCCAACTGTTCCAGCTGTTTGCTTAGTTTCTCACTTAGTTTTTTGGATTTGTACCTGGTTATTACACAGGTAGCTAAATGTGATAAAAGAAAATAATTTAACATAACATAAAAAGTCATAACATAAGCCATACCATAAAAAATGAAAGGACAATATTTAAATCAAATACTTTTTGTGCTGTCTAATGGCAGGGCTATTATTTAGGTCTCTCGATATAGCCTATGAACAATTCTGTTTTAGCTTCTGAAACACCCACCCACTCACAGACACTGGTTATTGTCATTGTCATTTAAAAATTCAAGGTTGAGTCCACACTTTCCTGATAAGGATTCAATCAACAAAGCATTTCATAAGCCCTGATGAAGGGGGAGCTCATTGGATCTCCAAAATGCTTTGGTTTTTTTTTTTTTATCCTGTTGACGTTTTATCAATAAATTATTATTTTAGGCTTCTATAAAATGTGATGGTGCCCCCATCTGTTCTTGATTAACTTCTGAAACTTGCAGGGGAGCTAGGATGCAAATTAGTAAGGATTCTAGATACAGAATAATGTTGGTTGTGTGTATTCCTGCTTTAATGTCACTGGAGATTGCCGAGTGGTTTACTGTGTCCAATTATTAACAGCAACAACGTGCCAAGGAAAAAGGCTCAGAGCTTACAAATTCTTTTACACATGTATCACTGTTAGAAGCATAGCAACCCCATAAGGGGCCTATGTGTAAATATAATGGATTTAGAATTAAGTGTGCTTGGTTTATTTGCTGCATATTACTGGTTATTTTTACAGTTATTTTAATGCACCAAAACTGCACGCTGTACAACTAAAGCTCCTTGAAAAAAAAGTAAAAATAGAAAGCATTATCAATGGAAGTAAACAAGTATGTCACTGATTCTGTAATTTCACAGCAGAAATGTCAGCATTTTAGTATTTCTTATCTGTTATTTACTAGAAATAAAATTCCCCCCATTCTGAGAGAAGGATCAGCGAACCATTCTAATACCACTCAAAAGTCCATTCCTAAAATAGGGGCCCTTACCATGTAAACGATAATGTGACAATTGCCTATTTCAGCACCCAGTGCTCTCAAATAGGGGTGCAGAAAGAGTTCCAAAAGCTGCAAAGTGCCGAAATGATCCACTGCTCAACAATGTTGCTCCAACGCCACAACAACCTGGCACATTATGATGCTTCCCCACAGCTACCCCTGTCGCAAATTACCATATTTAGTCAATGACATTGCCCATGATCGCCAGCTGGTAGGTTTACAAACAGAAGCCAAGGGTTCGGGTGAGCGAACTGGCCTAATTTGGCCAGTTTGTTTGGCAGTTCACTGAACAGGCTGGATTCAAGTCAAACTAATGGTCATCCCTAAGCTGAAGCGCATCCCTAATTATGTGAATAAATCTGTGAACACAGGGGTGATATACATGACAATGTAGGCCACCACTGAAATATACAGCATAAATGATCACAGTTAAGTGCAGATCTCCCCAAGCTCTCTCTACACAGAAAGAGGATTTTGCAGGATCGATTGAGAAGGTCTGCAGCAGACCTTACAAATCGACCACTGATCACCGGGACCAACGTGCCGCCTCACAGCCTTCTCCCTGATGGTGTGCAGGCGTTTACATGGAGCTACTGTCATCTGATCATTAACTTGAATGGGTGATAGCTACCACGTATAAACACCAGATAAGGGATCTCTGCTGCAATTAAAACGCAAGTTTCTGATGCAGGATTCCCTAATCGCACCTAAACCTACAGATATGAAAGGGGCTTTATTGTGTGTATATCGGTGTCTGCAGTACCATACCGGATACAGTTAAATTACATTTTATAGTATGAAATTTGGCAAGCGGCCCCCATGAGAGAAGAAAATTTGTCGAGTGGCCCCAGAGACGGAAGAGGCGAGGGGCGAAGATGGAGGAGGCACCAACGGAGGAGGCGGGAGGCCGGAGCTCCAGTTGGGCAGCGAAGATGACAAGGAGGCTGTGTTGGACACCGAGGATGAGGAGGCCGTCCAGTCGAGCACCGAGGACAAGAAGGCCGTGTTCCAAAGAGGTCAGACCATGCAAAGTAAGAGGACTGTGCTGTCAGAGCTGTCAGCATAGATTTTGCACATCCCTTTGGTGGGCTCTGCAGGATCTGGAGGGGGCTTTGTCGGGTCTCAGGGGGGCTTTGCAGGATCCATAGTATGCTCTGCAGCCTGCAAAGCCCACCACAGATCCTGCAGAGCCTTCCTGAGATCCTGTGGGGGCTTTGCCGAGTCTCAGGGGGCTTTGCAGGATCTGTGGTGGGGTAAATTTAGTGTGAGGGGGGGGCGCCGAGTTTTGTCTTGCCCAGGGCAGCCCCAAACCAGAATACACCACTGTGTGTGCCTCTAAAAGCTACTCCTTTGCATATGATTGGCTCTCCCAGAACCAAGACACCACAAAAAATTGCCACACGAATAGGTTTAGAAATGTGCAGCCTATGCACAGATTATCATTTAGACAAGAGCTATTCTATATTATGTAACACTTACCAATAACAATAGCTAGTAGAAGAGGAATTACCAGAAGGATATAGATGTAAGGGGAAATTGCTGCGTCTTTGTCTAGTCTCTTTATATAGTTGCCCAAAATAACCTTTAAAATAAAAAAGGTAAAATTAGTAATTGTGCCTGAAAATAAAACGAATCTATCAGATATGGGAGCTGCTACTGCTGACTTAAAAGGTGCATACTCTGAGGTTGTCATGCTCATCCTAGCTTCCCTACTTGGGAAGTCACTCTCCTGGAAGGAGCACAGGTATATCAGGTGTTGAAACCACCAATATGCATATATTTGTTAGAGAACCAAAGATATGGATGACAGTGCTGGACCATGCACATAAAGACAAAATTCAGTCCATATTTTTATGCTGACAGATTCCCTGTAGCAAACAAATAGCTGCTGCATTTTTTCAAATACTGCATGGCAACAAATCCGTTTAACTGATTTGAAAATGTCTTTTATATCTCTGTGCTGTGTACAACAGCTCCTCTAACATGCCTCTACTTATTTTGTGCAGGTGGATGGGGAAAGAGACTTCATGTTGAGCAAAACTGAGTTACCAAGTCCATTTTCTTAAGTTACCATGACTTAAATTTCATTTTACATCAATAAATGCAGACATTTGACTGTACATAACACAAAAAAATTAAGTTGCTGTAATTTCCAGCATTAAAATTTCAACACAACTTATGAAAGTAGGTTTTCAAATTAAAAAGTTTATTTAAACCAATAAATTAGGAATTTTATCTTGGAAATACGCATTATAGCACAGGTTGTAGCTTTAAACATGCTTATAGGTTAGGGGTCTATAGGTCCACGTAAAATGCTTCCCATAGTACAGACTCAATAGGCAGGAATGAAAGGGGGTAATACTGTGATAATGTGTTGAGCATCATTAAGGCAGTAGCCTGTGGTACGGTAGTACAAGCCACTGTAATAATAGTAGTAGTGCATGCTGCATTTTTTACACATGCATACATTGACAAAAGGTAGTTCAATTAATATACTTTTAAGTACGGGCATTGCAATAAACACTGCGGGGAAGGCTTGTTGGCAGGAGTTGTGTGCATGAGCACAGAACATCCATGCTGTTCCTTTCTTGCACCTTTATCCCTATAGCAGTCTGAGAACTGATGTACTGAAAGACAACTAGAAACAGAGTGACAGCAGAATATGTCCAAGTACTCTATCTTATATGTCCTTTTTTGTTGCTTTTTTTTTAAACATTTGTGCCAGACTATTGACCTATGTATATCCCAACAACACAACAGGATTTAATACCAAACCTTATGTCACACCACCAATAACTGGTCTCTGCTTTGAATGTACCCCATTTACAGCAACACTCTGATATATATTCTTTAACTGTCATTGATTCAGCAGTTTTACAAAGTAAAGTGAATATTGAAACCAGGATCACTACAGGCATTTCCATAGATTCTCATCCACCCTTATAACTTACCTTTACTTCTATTTTATTCACATCTATTTTTTTGGAGTTGTCCAAATCAACTTTACAAAATACTGTATCCTCATCAGTCCATTCTGTTATATTCTGCACTTTACAGGTTAAATTAGAATTTATAAAAACTTGAATCTCATCAGCTCGAATGTGCAGTTCATCTTTTTTTTTCTGTTGAAAATAATTATATTAACTTTGTTACTATTGAAGATTTTTGGAAGAGTTGTTCTAAGGAAGTGATGACGTGGTTGAAATAGCAATATAGATATCAGGAAAACATGCTCAATTTTACAAGAAAACAGTTAGGTGAATCATTCTTTTAATAGCAAAAGAAAAAGAAAATATCTAGAGATTTTTCTTTGATTACACATATAATTGGAGGGGGTTTGGCTGCTAGTGGTGGCATTATTGTTGCTGACAAAAAGGCAGTAGCATCCCAGTGCAGACTAATCTGGATTTCTGCATGGTCACGGTTCAGAGGCAGCTCCGAACTACCAACTACCCATACAAGCTCAAGACAGTCACATATTCAAGTGTATAATAAAAGGTTCCAGAATGTCTGCTTGCTGGCTAGTACCAACTAGATTGATCCTTATTGTCGCAGCCCCTGAACACACTGTGAGGCAAATTTATCAAAACTGGAGCAGAGAAAATCTGGAGCAGTTGCCCATACTAACTAATCATCTTCTATCTTTCATTTCCAAAGCCTAACTGAACAAACTAAAGAGAGAAGCTGATTGGTTCCCGTGGGCAACTGATCCAGATTCTGTCAGCTCCAGTTTTGATAAATCCTTCCCTGTGTTTTGTTTGTGGTCTGGAAACTCTAAGTCAGTACACTTGAACTTAACTGCAGAATCATGAGAGACATTCCATTCTCTTCCAGGGATCAGTTGCAGGAGAAGACAAGCCAGTACTAATAAGATATGTTGGGCTTGTGGCTCTAAGTAGAGATACTTCCCCACTCAGACACTGGGCATAACAGGACCCACAGCCAGTGCCATATGCTAGGCATAATATGGCTACCTGCCCTCCATTCTGACCTGTGATCACAGGATCTGGCAGAGGGAAATCTTTCACCACTGACTTCTTTTGTAGTTCTGGGATGTCATGTGATTGAATGCCAAGAGGTGCAAAGGATATTGATGCTGGTGAAAAGGTGTGTCACAATAGGCCATATCCTTTAGGAACATCCACCCTTCACCATCACTATGACTGCAACGGCATGATTTGTATTTTACTACTAAACTGCAGGTTAAACAGTTAAAATAAGTAACATTGCCATTTTTCTTCTTCATCGGTTTTCATAAATGCTAATAATAGTGTCAGCGGTTACTGATAAAGCAGAAAGTGAAATAATTTCCTATTTTTTTCTGACACTATCAAAATTCAAACCATTAAAAAGAGATAACAAGAACAACGGTTCTGAAGTAAAACATCTCCCATGACTGATTAGATTAGATCATGTATACGATTTATGTTATCTAATTTTAAAATGCTTCACATAAAGTGCATGCGAACAAACTGAATATCAAAAATATTCTTAGTTGCATCTTACTCTGTGGAACATACATTTTATAGGTTTATCTTACTAATTTAGGAAAGTGAGGTCCAAATTAGGAACTGTAGCTACTAACACATTATTATGCAAAGTTTGCATACTGGGGAAGTGCTGAAATAAGGAAAGAGTCAATGACCTATAGGCAGTCAGAGCCGAGAGTCTACTTATTTCAAAACATCCCTACTTTGTGCATTCTGCATAACAGAAAGTCAGAGTTTAGTGCAGAAAAGGGAGGGCAGAGTTGGCCCAGGGCCCCATCCCAGTGAGAAGCAAAGAGTGTCTTGATCCCTATATCTCAGTAGGTATGATGGGTAAACTCTTAGAGCAGACAAAAGAATGACAGGGAAAAATACACAATAAAATGTGTAATGCAGAAACTACTATCAGGTTATTGCTTCCTATTGTTCTCTGAACTGGGGTGTACAGGTCTATACAATTGCCACAGGAATAATGATGGCATCTCACTCATCCTTTGACATTTTTACTTTATCTTTTTAGAAAATGCAACAAAGGGATGTTGGTCACCTAAAAACAGTCACGTTGTAGCAGTAAAAGTAAGTATCCAGGTTTGGCAGTAATATACAGGAACTGGGGCAGAGAGATCTCACCTCTAATGAAGAGCTATAAGAACCCAGTAAGTGGCTTGGCACCCCCTACTTATACAAAAAATACTAGTTTTGGGAGGATTCAATGTCTAAAAATCCAAGTATAAATTGATTAATATATTAACTTAGTTCAACAGTTTAAAAAAAACCCAACAATAACAGTACACAAAGATGTGACCACATGAAATGCAGAATACTTGCCTTTATCCTTACTTCAATGACATAACCAACATCAACTGCAGTATAAGAAGTGAATATAGGATCTGGCTTGTAATGTACTATCCCACATGTTATGTTATTTTCTTCAATATGAATATTTATGCTGAAAGTTGGTTGGTTGGTTTCACTTAGTGGCTTGGCTATCAAATAGCAGTGTGTTTTGTTTTCTGAACATTCAACACCCTGTAGAATGCAGAATAAGCATTTGTGAATAATACAGAAAAGTTTAGTTATTAAAGGTTTTTTTTTGTGGCAACACTGGGACCTTCTATATATAAAATCTAATTATCAAGTGCGTATTAGAATTTTGCTGTAAAGCTACAAGCTATATTTACTTATTATCTTGACATGTTGCTAAGCCCAGCAATTCACAATTGATGCAATATCCTCCCTTAATATGAGTATGATTGGTACTCAGGTACTTCTTGGGCAGTCTATAAATAGTTGGAGCTTTGCAGACTATTCATATAGAAAATACATGTTCTTTGTTATAGCGCCACAAAGTTCCTTATTTGCTATTTTTAACAAAGCTGTGCACAGAAGTCTCTGTAGGCAATTCACTACCAAATTTGTTTGAGCCATGATGCAGGCTCTCATTAAAGGCAATAATGTAAGAAAAAGAGGCCCATGAATCACTTGTAGCCATCCTCTATGCTACTGCTTAGAGTTCAAGCCCAACTTTAGCAAAACATTTTTTTAATGAAGTTGGTGTTCCCAATGGGCAGACTTCCCTTACTGGGGAATATCTCCACTGCAAACACAGACTGCAATACATTTTATTTGGTAAAAAGAGGAAGGTTTAGACCAGCGGTCTCAAAGTACTGGCCGGCAAGCCAATACTAAGTGGCCGGCAGCCAGCTGACAAGCCGGGCACACGGGTCACGGACCGCGTGCCCGAGTTGCGGGAGCAGGTTTAAATGTGTGCAGGGGGCTTAGAAGGGGAGGCGAAGTGTATTATGTGTGGGGGGGAGTGTATTTTTTTATTTGTGTGGGAGGGGGGTTGTATTTTTGTGTGTGTGTGTGTATATTAGGCCCCATTCACACCTATATTTCAGGTGCGATTGGGGATTCCTGTGTCACAAACTTGCGTTTTCCTGCAGCAGGAATCCCTAATCTGGCGTTTACATGCAGCAACTTGAAGGGATTCACGCGGTCAGGAGTGCGATGGGACCATGGACTATACATGCAGCAACTGTCACCCATTCAAGTTAATGATCAGGTGACCGCTGCTGCATATACACGCCTGCATACCGCATGTAATTGTATGTGATATGATTACATGCAGTTACAAAAACAATCACTCTCCCTGGATACACAATTGTGTAACTAGGCATAGTAACAGATTCCTAACTGCATGTATTCCTTTCACATATGATTACATGCGGTGTGCAGGCGTTTACATGCAGCAGCTGTCACCAGATCATAAATTTGAATGGGTGACAGTTGCCGCTTGTAACATATGCAGACATTAACACTAGTACCGTATATAGTAGCGGCCCCCACGGGACTAAAAAATGTGTCCAGTAGCCCCCGACTAAATTGAGTTTGAGACCCCTGGTTTAGAGCCTCAGTCAAGTTATTGTCACTGTCTGTGGCTTCCTGTCCCTGCGATGACCACTGCCTTTGTTTCTTGTCCTGCTGTCACAGGCCATCAGAAGAACGGGAAGTGAGGAGAAAACTCTCCAATCGGGTCGCAGGCAGCCATAAAAATTTGAAAGAAGTGTTCACTTTTCCCAAATCTATCCAAAACTAAAACATAGGAAAAATGATTTGCTGGATATGGGCTTTAAGGTTATACATACACAGTTATATGAATATAGAATCCAATACAAAAGAACCGCACTACAAAAGGAGCAAGAGTTTATAATATGGTGTATGCATTGAAAGCACATTTTTATGTTTGGTATGTACAAATGTGGACAAAGCAGGACAGGAGCGCGACTACCAAAAGGACGTGGATGGGTATATGCAGTACAGATTGTAAATGGATCTTTGTATGTGAAAAATTCCGTGACACCGTTAATAGTGGACAAAGGGACTTACAGTTCGAGGCTCCCCCGTGATCTATATTTGGCCAAGAGATACAACACACACAAATGCAGGCTATATTCTTACACTCCTGTTACCCTGTTGGCAGGTCTCGTTATGTCCTGCAGGGGCTTCATAGTCACTCCCTCTTTTCAGATGTTTTAGCGAACAAGAGGTAGTCCCCAATACACACCTACAGGGCGCTATCAAGATACAGAGATGTTTTAAAAATGTCCGTCTGGTAGGAGTTTTATAACAAGACCATTTTTATACAAATGTGTGTTTATGTCCATTTGCGCGTGTGTGCACTCACATATATATGTATGTATACATGTATGTGTGTGTGTGTGTGTGTATGTGTACACACATATTTTAATACATTTTTTATTTGTATTGGTTTTTATGGGTGCATGCACTTATGGGGGTATGCATGTATTTTTACATCCATAGGTGTCCATGTGATCACACACATGGACTCGTTGTTAGACTTCACCCACCCAGGAGCAGTTCACCACTGCACCGATTCCCAATTCTTTTAACACCAATTAAAGTTTTTCACACACATTTAATAAATATTTTATCAAATAGTATTGTTCTGGCGCTACATACGGTTTATAGATTAGATCCCCTCCAATTAAACGTTAGCCCCAAATAAAAATGATTTGTCATCTAAAGCCATATATCCACAGCAGGTCGAGCACTGACAGCTCGCACTCAAGGCGGACCCAGACTGCTAATCCACTCCCCCCTTATGTGAGCGGCAGCCTATCACCAGGCTCAACGAAACCACACTCCTCCCCCCTGTTTCATTTAAAAACAGTCAAATCTCCTGTGATCTCCAGCAGCTTTTAGGCTTGATAAAGAGGGATTCCTCGAAACGCGTAGCCACTGGAGACACCCGACCACCAGAGACCTCCACCACCTGAGACCTCCACCGCCCACACCGCTACCGATCCAGACCAACGACGCACGGCGTGCCCTAGCCGCGTGTAGCTCCTCCCCACTCTTCCGTCTTTGACCGACGCGGCTCGGCCCGGCCAGCCGAGTCCGTGGGTGGCCATACGGATCCGCACCTCCAATTGATCAGCCTGCTACACCACCGGTGACACTCCTGCGATCCTGGACCTTCCAAAGGAGGGCGGCATATAGATCACGGGGGAGCCTCGAACTGTAAGTCCCTTTGTCCACTATTAACGGTGTCACGGAATTTTTCACATACAAAGATCCATTTACAATCTGTACTGCATATACCCATCCACGTCCTTTTGGTAGTCGCGCTCCTGTCCTGCTTTGTCCATATCTGCAATTTTGAATAGACAGGGTCCTCTCCCTGTACCGAGGAGCTGCTGCACACCCTTACACAATAGTCACCTAATTGTAGTGTGCCCACAGGAGTGCGCTTTATCCTTTTTTGTATTTTTCTGTGGATGTACAAATGTGTAAGACTTACTTTGCTAACAAATGTGCTCCCTGCTATGCTAAATTCTTCCACAAGATCCAGACCTTTTCCAGATAGTGAGAGTTTTCGACCGCCACTAAACAGAAAACACGTAGACATCAGTTGCAATACATTAAGGCAACATTTAGAACTGCTGCTTTTAACTGAAAACAATGCAATAATCTTTGATAAATCTGTTTAAAATATTAACCTGGTCACTTGATTTGAACCTGGCAGATCACAAAGTTGTGATTTGCTGTAGCTTAGCCACTTGTACATGAGTGTTCATAAAGGATATGTAGCCTTAAAATTCAAATCAACATACAAAGGATGGAAAAAAATGATGTACTAATTGTGTAAATAGTTATTAATTAATCTAGTAGCACGGATACTAGATTAATGTATGCAGCCACTTTCATTTTAGCTGGAACACGATCTTGAGGTTGTCTTTTTGTAGACTTTTACAAAAGTGAAAATAACTAAAATATACACCAAAAAACATGAAGTGTACATACTAAGCCTTAGACATTTAACTACATTACAGAAACACCACAAATATATGGTAACCATTGAAATTAGCTAAACCTGGTCTTACAGGATCCCCCTTAACCTTTAACATACAGTATATGTCTGTTATCTATGACTGTCATGATGAAGACATCTGAAGATAAATCTGGTTTATCTTTGTTTGTGACTTTTATAATAGGGCACTGATAAAGATACGCTGGGAGCGGAAAATGAGAAACAATAGGCATAGGGAATACATAGGAGGGTTTAAAAGCACGAAATACATAAAGGGTTAAAAAAAAGGAAAAAGTAGTTTGGGGTTGTACTTACAGTGGGGTTGAGTCGGACAGGAGGGGCTTCAGAAATGGAACAGGGGGTGGGAACTAGGATCAGGCAGTCGGAGAGGTGGTGGTCAGGCGAACTTCACAACCTCCCTCCCTACTTATTCTTTTGATGGGTATCTAAGAGGTTTTGCTGGTTGTTCCCAAGAGATTGTTGAGTTTGTTGTAGCAGTGGGCCAGTTTTCAAGGTCATTGAAGGTGGACATTTGGGTAAATGTCAAGTGGGTTGGGGCAGTCTTTGGTACGGCCATACTCCCCTTCTGTTTTTACTAGTTTGAATGTTCAGTATACTGGGGTAAGGTCGTATCTGCAATTAATGGTGCAATTGTCTCTGAGTCTGTGTTCCTGTGGTTGGCGGCCTACTTATGGGTATGCAGAAATGGTTCCTTGGTTAAAGTGCCTAAAATGACCTTGGGCCCCATTTTGACTGTGGTTGTTGTATATGTGTTTTGATATGTTTTTATTTATATTTGTTAATAAAAGGCTGCTATGGGCATTCATACTCCAATGTGTTGTCTTGAGTTGTTATTTCAAAGGGTTGTAGGAGTGGATGGTTGTGGCAGCAATATTTATGTATAAGTCTTCTTATAGAGCCTAGTCATGGCAAAAAAACAGACTTCATGGAAAAGTAAACTAAGTCACGCCAAACCTATGCCAGGTTTCGATTGCTTTCTGTGTCACTTTGAAAAGACTTCACTTCCTGTTGTATCTCCAGGATAGGAAGTGAAAGTAATCTACCTGACAGTACAAAGAAAATAACTTTGTGTAGACTGTAGATACAATTTAAAACTTCTGAGACTTTTTATATTGCTGTCTGCATCCCTTCTGGGTAAATGTATCTTTTGTATCTGTCCTGGTCACCACTGACACCAGGATAGAATGTGATAGGATATTCAAAATGTTACTGTTGCCACAGGAATAGGAGGCAAGGGTAAATCATCCAATGGGGACATCTGCCCTGATGACAGCTCTCTAAGATAAGATTTCCCCTGCCTCCCCTGTGTCTTTGGGTGACAATGATAAGGCAGTAGGCACTTATGGTTGTTCTTGGAAAATAGTAGAAAGGATAAGGCTAAGGTTGCCAGATTTTTAAAATGAAATCAGGTGACACCCTACTGACCATGCCCTTATTTACCAACACCCACAAAATCATGGTTCCATTTGTAACCACACTCACAAAATCACAACCAGTTTTTACTATGCTTCATAAACAATTGGTCACAGACTTTTGGAACAAGAGCAGACATGCAAGGTATAAAGACAAAATATACAGGTTTCAAAAAAAGGCACCAAAATATGCATGCATAGTTAGGATTGACATCTTGAAACTATAAAGAAGAAAAATGCCGAACACCTGGGGCATGGCCAATAAAGGGGGTGTCACTTCACTGTGTATGGCCTGTGTGGGAGTAAAATAAGCCCCAGCAGTAGCGTTGTTGGCAGTAATACTAACCATTAGCACTGGTGTCATTGGCAGCAATTTTAACCCCCACCCTTCCTGCTAGCATGTGCCTGGCTTGTCGGAGTCCTCCATTCCTGGTCTACTCGCTCGCTGGCATGTCTCTGGTGATGGTGCTGCTGGAAGTTGAAGAGAAATTGGCAGGCACACACACTGTACAGGAGTTGGAGCTGTCCGAAGAGGACAGACATCCAGTGCTGCTCAGGCTACAGGGCTCTGTGGTGCTTGCTCATGAGGCAGAAGTGTGATAGCTAAGGAAGGGTTGGGTGTGTCCTTTACGGGTCCCTATAACCACAGTAACACCATAGGCAGGCCCTGCCCTCAAAATGGGGACTGTCCCCGGCAAATAGGATGGATGGCAACAAGGGCAAGGGTCCAATTTGTTCTCTTTTATCATTTTTGTCAGTTGTTATTTGATGATTTAATACATTTTTCAACTTTAGTATTGTACTTTAGTATTGTAGATTTTATTAGGTTTTGATTTTGCTGCTGTTGCTTAAATATCAAGCATGCTAAATCTATTTAAAAGGAATTATTAAATAATACATACATAAAAAACCCATAGTATAAAGCTCACAATCTAATATACTACCTTGATAAAAAATGGAACCACATTGTTCACCTACAGACACACGCACTTATGGGTACCCACATTCGCTGTCAGGATGTCCTGACAAAGTTCGTGAATGGACAAAACGCATTGATATCACATGATGAGCCCTGTCCTGGTTTGCCATGTGCTATGTCTGAATAAAAGATAGGCCATGCTGGCATGTGCCACCACTTCTCTTCCCTTGTGCACCTTATGTCTCCACACTTAGGCCCCTTTCAGACAAGTGTGTCAGGAGAGGATTGGACAAAATATCCTTTCCTGATCACAGCAGTATGGAGTGGATGTCACCGCTGTGATCTTGCGATGGAGGTAAAAACTGAAACTGCCGGACTCCATGTCTGACTATGGGGAATCGGAAGTAAACGAACATGTGTCTGTTTACATCAGATTACCCCCAGTTCGGCATGATCTGGTCCGTCAAAACGGATCTCTGATCCGTTTGTTTTTCTGGACCTAGCCAGAGCCAGCGCTTGTCTGTTTACACACGGCTGCCCTTAAACTTGCATAGAGCATCCGATCGGGCACGGCTGAAAAACTGACAGGCAGACCTGATCAGACCACTCATGTGAAAGGAGCCTTATGGGAACTTGCAAAAGCTCATTGGAATGAGAAAGGATCTGGAGATGGGTAACTAGCCCAGGAGATGGATGTACATACATAAAAATATCATGTTGATACCCATATAGGAGGATAAGGCCAGGGTGACTAATGGTTATTGAATGTGCTAAGCTTCTAGGAGAGGAAAGATACATTGGGATTCTGCTGCATCTGTTGCTTGCAAGAATAATGCAAGCTTCCTACCGCCTCTACTCAATTATTGCGTGGCTTTTGCTGTTGATGTGATTAATCTAAGACCGCAACCCTTCTGCTATATGCTTGGCTTATATATATATATATAATGGAACATTATGCTGGAATCTGAGATATTGGGGACTTTATCAGCACAATAATTGGGTATACTGTGCAGTATTTTGAACATTGTTTGCTGAACTTTTTGGCCATTGTTAGGTTGGAAGCAACATTGTTGTGGCTTGTGTCCTCATTTGTTTCTCAAAATTATTTAATTATTAAGATACATGTGTAGGTTTATAGAGACGGTAGAGGTGGGCCGGGGATAGTCCTTTGTACCAGGTAATGTGGGTGTGTGTATATGAACAACTTTCTTCCTTTTTTTATCAAGGTGGGATATAGGGTTGTTACATAGTTAAATAGTATTTGGGGTTGAATAAAGACATATGTCCATCAAGTCCAACCCATATAGGTCCACGCATCATCTCATTCTTAGGGATACTGGTATCCCTGGATATTACGGTCCCTCAAGAAATTGTCCAAACGTTTCTTGAATACACTCTTGGCTGAAATCACTGCCGATGGCAGTGAGTTCCAGACCTTAACCGCTCTTACTGTAAAGAACCCTCTTCGCCCATTGTGCTGGAATTTTTTCTCCACCAACTTTAGGTCTTTGTAATGGAGTTAATCTCAAACAGTTTGTTGCCAATGTTGCTGTCACCATTGAACATCTTGTACATGAAAATCATATCCCCCTTAATCTCCTTAATTCCAGCGTAAACATGCTTAAGGTCAGAAGCCTTGTCTCATAGCTCTGGTCCTCCATTCCCCTAATTAGTTTTGTTGCCCTCCGCTGGACTCTCTCCAGTTCAAGGACATCCCTTCTCAGTACCGGCGACCAAAACTGGACCGCGTACTCCAGATGTGGCCGAACCAACGATCTATATAGAGGCACAATTATAGACTTGTCCCTGCAATACATCCCCTTCTTAATACAGGACAAGACCCTGCTAGCTTTGTTTACCGCAGCTTGGCACTGCAAGCTACCATTCAGTTTGTGGTCTACAATGACCCCCAAATCTTTTTCTATTTCTGACTTCCCTAGCGGCATACCCATGATTGTATAGCCTATTTGTTTATTTTTATGTCCAAAGTACATTACTTTGCATTTATCGACATTAAACCTCATCTGCCATAGTATTGCCCACTCCCCTATTTTATCCAGGTCCTCCTGCAATGTTATATTGTCACGATCCGTTTCTAGTACCCTCCCTATTTTTGTATCGTCTGCAAACACGGAAACATGGCTATTTATTCCCCCCCCCATGTCATTAATTAATAGGTTGAACAGTATCGGACCCAGCACAGATCCTTGAGGCACACCGCTCATTACACTAGCCCAGTCCGAAAAGGTGCCATATACAGATACTCTCTGGACACGTTCCCGTAGCCAGTTCTCTATCCACGTACACACCACCTCATCTATGCCCATAGCCCTCAGCTTGTGAAGTAAGCGCTTGTAGTACTGTATCAAATGCCTTTGAGAAATCCAGGTATAAAAACATCTACCGGCTTCCCTCCATCCATATCTCTGCTTACCCCCTCAAGTGTGCTGTAAAACTAATGAGTTTTTATGTATGTAATAGTTATTAAAAATTTCATTTTTCATATATTATAATTTTCAGGGTGAGAGTCTTGTTGTGGTGCTTGGATCCATATTTTCAATTAATATATATAATGGATACATTTATACTGTGATCTCAAAGACATTTGTATCCTAGTGTATATAAACAAAAAATCTGAGCTGAGGTAAGGTTAACATATTTTTAAGATGAAATCTAGACACCCTACTGACCATGTCCACTTTTAAACCACACCCTCAAAACATACTCCTTTTGTAGCCACACCCACAGTCCAATCCCTTTATTTTAACACACCCTCAAACTATTGGTCACAGACTTTTGGAAAAAGAGGCTGACATTTAAGATATAAAGACAAAATAAACAGATTTTAAATAAGAGGAAAGATATGCATGCATAATTACGAGGGGTGCTTTAAAGATAACAAGAAAAATGCAGCAGCGCCCTACGAACACCTGTTGGCAGAGCTAATAAAGTTGAAGTGGCTTCATGGTATATGACAAGCCGTGCGCAAGATCACCAGGGTGCAGCACACTTCTTTTTTTTTTAAGGAGATAAGCTTGTAAGCACAATTAAAAAGTAATGAAAGTTTAAAGACAATCTACGTCAAAATATAATAAAATAATGAGTTCAGATGTTTAGAGGTTATTAATATATAATGCAGGATTCAGGGCTCAGTAGTAAGTAATGCAAAGTAATGTAAAGTAATGCAAAGTGCAGATTCAGTTTATTTCATGGCAGCTTCTCCATGAATGCCATGCTTGCATCACAGAGCAAAGTGCTACTGAGGCTGAGCACAGGTGTGGCCACGTGTGTGTGTGGGGAGCATACCAGGAGCACTGAGCACAGGCGGGGGTCGTGCCAAGTACTGCCCAAAGCACAGGAGGGAGGCAGGGGCATACCAAGCACCTGGCGCACAAGAGGGAGGCAGGGGCGTTTCAAGCACCCGGAGCACAGGAGGGAGACAGGGATGGACCAAGTGCCTGGAACATAAGAGGGAGGTGCTGGGTCCTAGCCACAGCCATTAATACAAGGACTAGGTAATAAACTGTGTTTACTGCCACCGTGGACACCACCAGGTATGTTTGCCAGGGATAGACCTGTCAAAACGGGGATTGTGCCTGGCAAATGGGGACTAATGGTAACATAAAGCTGAGGATAAAAAAGCAGGTGTTAAAATATAACCAAAGTACTTAACTTAAAAAATTTACCTGAACCACACAGAATTTGGTAAATTCACAGAACATGTGGGTACTGATACATAAAAGATGTTCAGGCCTTGATGACACGTCTCATTAAAATTAACACATAATTGCTTGGCATCCTTCGCACTTGGCAGAGAGATAAAAGCATGTGTGCTGTTCCAATATTTTTCTCTTTCAATTCGAATTCTAACAAACAACGAAAATGGTAAATATATTAGAAAATGTAAAATTGGACACCAGGCAAACATCTAAACACACAGTTGAAACACATTTAAGTGAACTGTTTTATCTCCCAAATTAGTTACTATTCTGTTCATCCAGTCACATTTTAAGGGCCAAACAAACCCCCTTCATCAGGACTTTGACAACAGTCTCAAAGAATATGGACTTTAAGCCTGGATCATTAAATCAAAGCCAGCGGTATTGGAGATTACAGCAGAGAGTCAGCCAAGTTAGGCAACAGTGGCATTGTTTGGCCCCCAAAATGTAATGGCTGCTTGCTGTTTTCTTGATATGTGTGAATCAATAAAATTTGTTTGGCACTCTTTTCTGATTTGATTACCATATTTGTGTTATGCAAGTTATACTTTATATTAACTTTCAGTGAAGGTCAGAGTTTAAAAAGATCAAATGTGTAAACATAATAAAGTTGCATACAACAGTCCACGGTTCTCTGAGACAATACTGTATTTTCCCAATTACTTAAAGTAAAAAAACTGTAAAAAAAAATATTACCATAAATATTTTTTACAAATGTGAAGTTTGAAGTAGCGCTGATTGTTTTGTAGTTTGCAGAGAATTGTTGGATCTTTGGTTGTCGGCAAAATAAGTGCTTATGTCAGTATCATGGTAACATGTGGTGGTATAGTATGGTGGACACCTGATTTTGTTTCCCCTGTACCACATAAATTGTATGGTGCACTGTAACTTACTCTTGTGGCTTGCAGCTGCTGGCACCTACTAAAAACATTTTTGATAGATTCTGCAAATTCTCTCCAGTAATTAGAACATTTTTTCTTCCGGAATAGATTATCCTATCAGGTTGTACTGTTGTAACTGTGACCTGGAGTGAGAAAGAAAACATTAAAAGCCATGACCCTGGTACCCTGGAAATAAAGTTTGATTTAATACCTTGTCTCACAAGCATTTTGGGTTAACTCCATTTCAACTAATTTTCACCCATTTAATGGCATGTGCTTTGTGTGCATAAAATCCCAAAGAAGTGAGAATTTTGGTAAAAATATACAGTGTGTGTACTAAAAGAGCCAGGGTACCTTGCACAGGTTCCAAATTGGGCACAGCAACTTCCAGGACCCTCTTATAACTACCAGGGCTATGTGACATTAACATATTCCCCCATGGTACTTTCCACCATTCTTCTGCATCCACTCGTTTGAATTCTTCACCAGATTTCATATGAATGGATGAAACACTAAATGCAGTAATGTGTAGTTGTTTTACAGGTTAAAAAATGTGGAAGCCAGTGTTTGGTCTTTTCCTCTCAACTGGTAAAAGAATGGCAAACAGGATCTAAAAGAGCAAGAACTTGGGTGGTCAGTGAGGTCATCCATAATTTGTTATAGTCAATAGGTAGCAAAGTAAACTGTATATTAATAGAAATTTGGCAAACGCAATTACTACATCATACCTATAGATGTTTAGGTTAACTCAATCTGCCTGCGCTACTTACTACATTGAGTAGTAAGTAGCGCATAGTTCAGGGGACAGAAGTAAGTAACGCAGAGTTCAGCTGACAGAAGTAACGCAGAGCTAAGGGGTCAGTAGTAAGTAGTGCTGAGTTCAGGGGACAGTAGTAAGTAATTCAGAGTTCAGGGGTCAGTAGTAAGTAATGCAGAAATCAGGGGATAGTAGCAAGTGATGCAGAGTTCAGGGGACAGTAGTAAGTAGCGCCGAGTTCAGAGGCCAGTAGTAAGCAATGAATGGTTCAGGGGACAGTAGTAAGTAACGCAGAGTTACTAACATCATATATAAGCCCTTAATCACACTAAGCGTTTTATAGCGGTTTTCCTTGCCCAAAAAATGCTCCCAAAAATCCCTATTCGTTTCTATGGCCATGTTCACATCTGAGCATTTTGTCGCTTGTGGCAACATGTCCGCCACTGGAAAGAAGTACATGAGCTTCTTTTTGGCAGATTATGTGCTTCTTGGCCCCATAGACTATATTGGAAATGCTCAAAAATGCAAGTTTGCTGTGTTTTTATGCGTTTCTGCACTTTTGCCCATTCACATGAATGTGTCACAGTCTGCTTGCAAAAACATGCAACTTTATGTACGTGTGGAAAACGTGCGTAAAAATGCACAAAAACGTGCTACACAAAATGTGCTGAAAAACGCACAAATTTTATGTCGTTTAGGTGTGAATGAGGGCTAAGTAACAGTGATGAAAGGTGCCGGAACACTTGGATAATTATAAACTACTTGCACAGCAAACAGCTATGTAAACGAGATTCGCAGTGCATTATGGCCACTAAATGGAACCGAGGAGCAAGGAAATTCTTATGCTCCACAGCTCCATCTAGTGGCCATAATGTGCTACGACTCTAGTTTGCATAGCTATTCGCTATGTAAAGGGTTTGTAAATCACCTCACAGATGACAAAGGGGCATTAAAGGAGAACTATGGGGTCAGGGCTTTTCCCCATATTTCTCCCTAGGGTAACGGGAGGACACAAACTAGCGTCCTCCCGTTACCCTAAGTTCAGTATACCGCGAGCTGTAGCGATACTGAGATGCCGCAGCCGGAGTGGATCCCGCCACCTATCTAGAGGCAGAGCCAGCTGTACCCGCCCCTCCCCCGTCCGTTGCGCCAGTCAGCGCTGGCGGATCGGAGTGGGGAGGGGGAATCCAGCCCCTCCCCTGTCACGGCAGAGAGCCTTGACAGGATCGAGAGGTAAGCAAACGCCGGTATATGTTCGCTCACCTCCCGATCTACTGAGCCGACCTGTGACAGTCTCATTGTCACAGGTCGGCTAGAACTATGAGGTGAGTGAAAAGCACTCACCTCATAGTTCTCCTTTAAAAACATGGCTCAACCGCCTGTTTTTATTTCCCCTTTCGCCTCCTCTTTGTTCCTAAGGTCCGCCACTGGGCCCCAGTGCTTGTAGAAGAGAAGTAACCAGCACTACAAGGCGAGAATAATCAACTAGGATTTATTTACATAATGTCACATGCATATAGACTGCCCTTCATCAGAATAACATTGTGACTATTAGATTTGTATTATTAGATATTTATTAAATTGTACTGGTGCTTCATTGTCTAGTTGTTTGAGACTACCTGAAAAAAAGGAATCATCTGATAACTCTTGTAAATAATCTTCTTCTCCTGCCCCGGTTCTTATTCTGAAGTGGGATAGCAATACTATTTTACACAATTGAGCACCTGTGGATTTTTAGCTTTGGCTTGATATTTAAAAAGCCCTAATAGACAGCACAGCCAGGTGACCTGACATTTTTTTACTGCAGTTAAGGATCAGAGTTATGTCTCCTCCCACCCCCAGCCTGTGAATGCACAATGAAGAAGCAGTTGATGAGGTCACCTTTATGCCCTCTCCTCCTATCAGCTTGTTTCTTGTTAGCAAATTTAAATGCAACACACCAAGTCCTTTCCACTCCAATGTACCTCATAGGGTATAACAAGAAAACAAGATCAATTCAGGCATATACACTCTTTTATCTAAAATACTTTTAATATTTTTTTAACCAGTTGACATCCGCGGTATTAAACCCCCTTCCCATCCAGGCCATTTTTCTAGCACATATAGGCGATCGGTGGGCTATGGACCCGCTGATCGCCTATATGTGTGACACCCGGTACCGGGTGTGTGCATTGTCGGGTCTTTTCTGCCCGTGCGTGCCCGCTAGGGGGCGCGCGCGAGCAGAAAAAAATTGCCGTCTGGAGACGGCAACCCGCAGATGCAGCAGTGCCGTCCGTCCGTTTTTCTACTACGGGCGGACGGCAAGAGGTTAAACTCATACATGACATTTATTAGTGTTTTTGTTATGCGTACAAGAATGATGTTTATTCTTTACATTGCCGTGAGTATGACGTCAAAATTACATCAGAGGGCATGTGGTTGTCTTCACTGATTGGTTTTGGGTCATTTCACTGATGTATATATTTACCGTGTTTGTTACACTTGTTGTCACATTGTTTTGCCTGATGAAGGGACCACATATGGTTCCGAAACGTTTCTATTGTCTATGATACCATGTTTATCTGAACGTCAATAAAGGACGGATTCATAAAAAGGAAAATTACTTTCTTTTTATTATATCTGTCTGGAGTTCAGTTTTAATTTTCATTAGGCATTTGATTAGGTCTTTTCTAATTTTTATATATTTAAGTCGCTCAGATGTAAAACATACCATGCTACAATGGTAGAAACTGTTAATGTAAATAGAGCCAGCCACAAAACCAGTTTAGGTGCCACTTACCAAGGTATACCATAAAAAAACCACCACATGGCGCATTTTGGCTATAGCTCAAAAACGTGCCATGTTTTGTTACTGATATGACTTTTTTATTCATGTATACTGTAGCTTGTCAAAAACCACACAGTTATTCTGACAAATCTGAAATGTTATGCAAGTGGTTTAGGTTCCAAACATGCAGCAGCAGCTACTGATAACTACCAAATTCAGGAAGTACAATGGAAAATATGTGCTAATTCTGCCACACCATAGGGCTTGCTAAATCTGTGGTGTGGGGTGTGTATAGTTTACATTTCCTGCTCTGAAAACAACACCTCCAGTGTCAGATAGACATTGTTTTTTGTGGATGTTTAAAACCCTTTTGAATTTTTTAAACCAAATTGATGTGAAAGAAAAAGGGCATCACTGGGCTTTGTGCATACAGATTCTTTCTAAGCATTCCCATCTCCCAGAAGTCCCTTTGAAGGACCTTGGTGGTAAAACAAGAGCCCTTTTATAAAAGTCTTTAAACAAACAGTATGCCACTGGTAGAGGATCTGACAGTACTGTCTTTCACTTCAGATCTCAGTTATCAGTTATTAGACAAAAAAAAAATTCAAGTGAATAACAACTTACACTGGATGGTGGTGCTGGGGGTGCTGTACTCTCTATGCGTTCACAATCAGCCTAAAGTAAAAAAAAAAAACCAAACAAACAATAAAAAAACGTTCTCAGGATGCTGTCAAACAAATGTACTGTGGAACCAATATGGACATTCTTTGATAGTGACAATTACTTAAAGTGATATTAAACCTTTATTTTTTATAATTAGGAGTGCCAGAGGTACTTGAATTTACTTTTTTTTTTTTAAACTTTTTTACTTTATTTATAGGGACGGCCCTGTGCAACAATACAATATTCCTGACAACAGCAATGATATTAATGATAAATGCCCATAACGGCCCTTATATTTACCTCATCTGCTTTAACTTCACATGGATTCAGTGGAGACCTACATGCAGATTCCTTAGTACAATACAGACATCCATTTGATATACACTCCAAGCAACTGCAATAGAAAAAATATTTCATTATTGTTGTATTGAAGTCTACATTTTACAGGGGCACCCAAGGACCAGTGGTTAACTACTCTTCTCCAAAAGCGTTTTCTAGTGCCTTGAATAAAATTTTAATATATTGAGAAGGAGGAAACCTCCAATTAGTGTACAGATTTCCCCCATTCAACATGGACCTATAAGCGTGATATAGTAATATTAAAATGAAAGTCTTCAGTCTTTCACATTTGTACAGACTCCTATCCTGTACTGAAATTGCTTACTCTGCACACTCTGAGCTTCTCACAATGTACATTAGAGGCTGCAGCAAGTTATATACCGCCCGCCTCCTTGCTAGATGACATTCAGCATCATCAAGCTCTTTCCTCCCCAGCCTGACTGTTCCTGGCCTGCCCCTTCTCTTTATTGGATTTCAGTTCTTGCTCAGCATTACATGTGTGATGTTTGCATAATGCCTCCCAAGAGACAAAGCTTGCATCGGGGCTGAGAGTAATGAGACTGCTGTGATGTTTTCAGGAAGCTATGTGCAGCACCCTACCATCCCCTCCTACCAGCCACGATCTGCCTGGATTGCATACAGAAGCACAGAGACACAGTAAAGAAGTCACTTGGCCAAAAATAGGGGTTGTAGTGAAAACAAAAAAGGTTTATTTAAAAATGTCATTAATTTTAATAATTACTTTTGAAATATCATTCCAAATGAAATTTTCATTAACTTTATATCTATAAGTTTCATTAAAACAATGCCTGCTGTTCCTGCCATGGATGTGCATGTCCAGGCATTTCCTGTTATAAGGTGACAATGCTCTGTCCCTGTCTCCCAATTGTTCTCCTGCATTGTCACCTTGTCACACACTCTCCAGATAGAGACTACAAACGCAGGCGCGGTCTGTTGTAGGAAACCAGTATTGAGATATAACATCAGCCTCTGCTGGAGTGAGTGCGTGTAGACAAGAAGTGGCTGCAGAGAGGCTGCAGAAGATTAGAAGTGCTGATATGCAACAAAGCATGAAAAAAGGTGAAAACAGTATGTTGTGAAAAAAAAAAAAATCTTGCTAACTTTCTGGCAAAACAATGCTTTAGCAAACGAACTGTCATTCAATTTGGGTGTACTTCCTGAGTCTAAATATAGTTGTAGCTGGCAGAATCCATCCTTTAAAGTGATAAATGGCATTAAACCAGAAGTGATATTCCTGGGTAAATTAACAAAATAATGAAAACAAATGTCCAAACCAGGGTGAAGGCAGCTATTATCATGACAAAACGTTGGTATTCAAACAGTTTCATTGTAATGAGATGCTGCCATGGCAACCATGACAGAATTAAGCTAAGTGAATATTATATATAAAATTATGCTTGCTGTATAATATAGGATTAAAAAAAGAAAAGAAAAAGGGTATTGTAACTAAGCTGCAGAGCTATGAATTTAATCCCAGGATGTGCAGCTAGAGTAACAATGAGTAAAGAAAGGCAAGTGGCCAACAATTAAATATTTACCTGATCCCTGAATATTGTGAGCACTTATCAAACTGGAAATGTTCCACGATCGTTAGATAATTGTGTACTGCTATAGCAGTCAATACATCTGAAAAAGCAAATGTACCATTAATAATACTATTGCAGGTATTTCTGGAAAAAAAAGTAGCTTGTCTTTTCTCGAAGAACATTTTTTGGCTCTCTGTGACACTGCAAGTTCTTTATATCGTGTATCATGGCAAATCCTTGGAATAATCAACAAAGATATGAGGTATTTTTCTTTTAATCAATGTGTGAATCACAAAATACAGGTCTAGCCCTGCTGTCTTGCCTGCTCTCTCACCCAGTGCTACCATTAGAAATCATGGGGCCCCTTACAGCCCGCCTGACAGGGCCCCCATGCGTTAATCAGTCTCTTCTGCCATAGGAAGGAACAGTTCTTCAATCCAGTTGTAAGACAGAAAATTGTATTTGTATAATCGGAATTACTTTTGCAGGAAATAAGCATTAGATATCATATTTTTGTTCCCTATTTGGTGGTCACGTGACCAGGCAGCTTCTCTCACATTCTTCTTCCTCAGAGTGGGGAGTGTTGCTCCAAAGCAAGAGTGCATTATGTTCCACATGTCTAGGTGTGCTGCACTCCTACAGGCCAGGCTAGGTGGGGGGGGGTCTGGTGGCCATACTGACTATGGAAGATATACAGTATACATTCTGTGCATTAGCACAGCCTCCTGTACAGGGCTGTCTTTAAAATTAAGTGGGCCCTGGGCAAGATTTTTCTGATGGGCCCCCACAACCCACCCACCACCATCACCTGCACTCTCCAAACCAGACCCCCATATCCACCTACATCACCTTCCCCCGAAACGAAAAATTAAAAACAATATATGTATAAATAGATATAGAGATATACTATATATATAGGTCAATGCACTAATACAATAGACTCAGAACTATGCAACACAATAAGGCCTCGTTCACACCAGACACGGTGCATTCTGGCCTAGATAGATAGATAGATAGATAGATAATACGTAGAAGTGTGCGATGATATGCAATGTAAATGTAATACCGATTTCACTAATATAACCACGCTTTGGTATTACATTTACATTGCATGTCCCCAAACAATAGCTACATGGTTCATTAAATTTTCAACATATGCCTCTATCTATAAATATATATGTATATGTAGGTATACAGTCTGTAGATAGCAGTGGCGTCACAAGGGGGGTGCGGCCCGTCCCCCGGGTGCCACCATTAGAGGGGTGACACCAAAATGACTCACAGTCATTATAAATGCATATACAGATAATGAATGTTAACATTTTTTTTTCTTTTCAGAATTACCTTAAAAGTTGTACTGTCTGGCTGTACCCTCCCTGTCCTTCTCCTCCATGTCTTCCGGATCTCTGTGACAGGCATCGGGGGAGGAGATCACAGCAGGAGACAAGCACGGAAGGCCGGTCTCTTCATAGAGGCCGGCTGCTACAGAGGATGAACGGCCGTTCTCTCTCCCTACGTGCACTGCTGCAGCTCTTTCTCTGTCTGCTGCTGGGGGCGAAAAGGGCAGCTGTTGTGGGCCCCTGTAAATTATAGGGCCCAGGGCACCTGCCCCTTTTGCCCTGCAGTAAAGACGACCCTGCTCCTGTATCACCAAGAAGGGAGCTCTGATATGCAAACTGACCACGCCAGCACGGATCTGCTTCTGTGCATGCCATGGTTATATTGCAGCAACTGACAGGTTCACCAGATATTTTACAGCAATGAAAAGGGAAAATAGCATATTTATTAACATCTAAATTGAAGAACAGGCACATGTAGAAAAATTGCATTTTAGGGTAATAAAAACTTTTTAATGTTGCATTTAAAAAAAGATCAAAGAAAAAACCCAAGACGTTTCTTTCTAGATCTTATTTGTGTAAACCTTCCATTTAACAGATATAAATATATATAGATGATATCTTTGTGTGTTTAGATGATTTGAGAAGATGAAAAGAGAGTGCAGTAAACCTAAACTCAGCTAATATAGTAAAACTATAGCTATAGCAAAGATAGAGAACTGCTTGTGTATAGGTACAAACCATACAGTGAAACAGTCCTTTAAAAACATGGTATGCTTTTATAAATGTTTCTGTCTACCTTTTTTTCTGCTGGCTATCACACTTAAGGTATCGCTACTCAGAGGTTTGCTGACTCCTTGGCTGCTTGCTTGTTTCAGCTTAGTGGCTAAGTATTGAAGTCATAGTTATAACATGAAAGACAGGGATTTCGCAACCTTAAAAAAAAAGGTCAGCAGTGACAGTGCCCATATTTCTATCATGACAAATTTGCTTCAGAAAGATTCAAAAGTTCCTTTAATGATGACAGCTAACTGTGTGTTTACTGGTTGCTTGTGATCTCATTCTGAATTGAAAAAGTTGGTTGGATGGCCAGTGAAACATCTTCAAGAAAATACAAGTCCAGTTGCCTTGATTTATTTTTTACAGATATATCATGACCTGGATGAATAAGAACCTTCACCGACATCTCAGAAAAGGCTTTCATTGTTGTATAGTTTATGATGTTCTCAAACCTTGACTTTAATCCAAGGGCCCATTCCCATGTGTTCACTTTGGAAACAAATGGCAACACATCTGTGTGTGGTGTGATGCAGTGCCATTCACTGTGAATTTCCTCTTATGCACAACACAGCGCACCACAACATACATACTGTGAACTGTGGTGCGCTGCCTTGTTGCAAAAAAAGGTAATGAGCATTTTTTAATTCGTTATAGTACATTGGCATCCCATTTATAATGAATGGGCTGCCTTAACACACCTCAACTTAACATCCATGCTTTAACGCAGCACAATGGATCCAGAAGGAAGGAAAGTGTCAGCCCCAATTCAGAGATGATTGGAGGATCTACAGCTGGGTGATGCACAGATAAGATACATTTTTGTTAATGATAGTTAAGGTAATTGAATGTATTTTAAAGATTTAACTCCTGAGCTTAGTGTCACTTTAAATTAGTTAATATTATGTGTGTCTGAAATTGACAAAACATTGTAGTAGAGTGTAAATGAAAGGCATACCTTGATTAGATGACTGGACAGATGGAAATGGACAGGAGCAGCTCAAGGACTGTCGGTCAGCTGTTCCATTGCAAAGAACTGTGTCCTTCTTTTGCAATTTACAACTCCAAGTGTTATCTCTACCAAATAGTAAAGGATTTTTCTTGATGCTTAATGTGATCTGTATGAATCAGAAAAACATAAAACTTTGCTTAGAAATAAATTCTGTCATAAGGCAGTGGGAGTCATTTTGGTCCCAAGGCCTGAAAGCAGGGCCTATCCCCTGAGGCTGTAGGGGGAGACAACTGTACACTCTTTTGTACATTCATACCACTAGGATATTGTTACAAGTTGGTATTTTTCCTATTCAATAAACAGAAACATTTTATAGTTTAAAAATAGAGATGAGCAAATGTTACTGAATTTGGTTCATGGGGGGATCGTTGAACCCAGCACGAAGTTTGAAAATTGCAAGCTTATCATTGAATGCAATTAAAATTTTAGCCAATGAATCTTGATGTTGAGTTCTGAACATTTTCAAGGCTGATAGGCAAGGGATTGTCGAAAAGGTCATGGGAAGCTGGGAACTGCCATGTGGGGCATGTGCCAGTGCCAAAATAAATTTACCGTACAGCTGGGGGAGTCGTCTCCTTTTAATGTGACATGAAAATTGTGACAGTAAATGAAGGAAAACAACAAAGGTAGCATGTCAATGAAAAGAATACCTGGTTTTTATCTGCAGAAGTAACATGGATTCCAAAACATTTTCCATAGCCATTGGATATCCCAATCCAATTTTCCAAAGAAGTTGCTTCACATTCCGCCTTCATCATACAACTAATGGTACACAGTAAAACCAAATCCATTAAAGTTTGAAGAAAGCATTATTGTAATATTTTCAAATGTAATTTACCCACGATCCCCTAGATCATTCAACCTACATTTATAAAAACATACCATGCCATAGAAATAGTCCATCAGGATAAGAAAACAAAAAAAGGCACCTGCTTAACCATTATGCTGCCAGAGCTGTTTTTGCAATTATTTTTTTTGCACATTTTAGGCCTGAGAAAACACATTCAAATTCATTTTAATGCCCACTAACACAATATAATAACCATTTTTTATTAAAATAGAAAAGATAAAAGATAAGGTTGCGTTAAGTAAATAGATAGCAAACTTGTCAAGCCTCAAAACTGCTTGCGCCTGTGAAATAGCTAAAAACTTTGACACTCCAAATTGTACACAGGCGATTTGAAACCCTTCAAAGGCCATCACATATCACATAAATTGCTGGTGACACATTCTCTGTAAGGAGACATCAGGAGTCTGTTACACCCCTGATTTAACCTGTGGACCTCAATGAAGCTGATCAAGCACAAATCTACAGAGGGGTAGTCAAGCTCAGTGTAGACGTGATCGGCTGATGCTACAGCAGCCCGGGGTGGATGCAGTGTTTACATCTGTGACAGCGAAAGGGTTAAAGCACTTATTAGGGAAGTGATGTCATATAAGGGACAGGAAAGCCCCAGTGCTCTTAGACATGGATCCCGTAAGGTGGTCAACCGAGGTGCAAAAGGTGCGTAGTGCTTCCTCTCTGGGGGCTCATATGCACTAAGCAAGCTAGTGGTGAACAAGTTTCACTAATTATAAGGTGAAACACTTATGCCAATTGGCTACCGTGGATTTAAGAAGTAGATGCATGCTTAACTGCAGTTTTAGTGGGGTACTATGAGTCAGTCTAGTGAATTGGCATTATATCACAATGCCAAGAGGTACAGCATTAAGTCTCTCAGCACTGAATGGCTCTAGTAACCAGGATGATAATAGTAATAAAATAAAAGTGTAATTTATTGCAGCTTACCATTCTTTGGATGTGGTGGCTGCATTAGTTTTCACTTTTCAGACTAAGAACATTTTCAACAAGTATGGAAAATACCTGTTGATCATGCCAGGAATCCAGTGTCCAAAGGACAGCACAAAAAAACTACTAAAGGTATCAATACACCACATAATGTTAATAAATATAGGCAGATACACAGTATTTGAATTCCAGCCTGCTTGACAACCATGACTCCCTTAATAGATACAGTGGAAGGGG